GGTTGCGTAACTAAAGGTTTTCAATTTGTTTAAGAATACAAAAGTGAAATGAACTGAATATCATTTATATAGAAAAAAATATAAATGTCAAATTTATTAAAAAGTTATTGATAAACGATTTCAGTTAATGTATAGCAATCGCATAATTTAAAATTATGGACAATTCAATTATTGTTGTCTACTAAGCTAGTTGACGGAATATCGCGGTTCTACTCCAATGCCTTTGTAACCTTGTCTGATATAACCCACCATAAAGCTTGCTTGAAAATTAATTGGTATTGCCAACAAATATCGCATTCTAATACGTGAACGTAAAATATATATACGATAATAGATCAAGTTACATGTTGTAAACTTTTTATGATGCTGTATGCATTTAACAAAGTAGTGTCGCGTTCTTTGTACCTAGCATACTTATATACGATTATAGTTTAAAATAAACTTAATTTGATACAATTGTATATTACATATTTACATTAATCAAATGGGTGAAAATCATGCATTGATAACATATTCAATGCAAATTGAGCCTCTAATTTTAGATTGATTGCTTGAGAAAGAAACAGATATTATTTTAAACGGACTGATTGCATGTGGTCATTGACTACTGACAACACACGCTGATCGGTGTAAACTGTTGTTTATAAACAAACATTACGATTTTAATGATATTATCAATCAAAACAAAAAATGAGTGTTAATTGATTGTTGGTTGGTTGGTGTTTTGGTTGGTGTTTACGGCGCACCAACATAGTTTAGGTCATATGGCGCCGTAACAGGAAAGATGATTATAGCTAACGTAGGGTGTTACCAACTTAAAGCCAGGCCAGGGGTCAAAAGCCACTTCACCTGCTGGAGCTAAAAGATGCATAAACCCCAGTAATTTTAATCACACAGGGTTAAACGGTGGATGCTATTCTGATGCCTCACCCGTCCGCTATAAGAAGCAACAAAAATGTAAACGTAATGAAAATGTGGACAACGGATTAAGCGACTCGTATTCTAGAACTGTGAGGACATCGTAGAATGTCAAATTTCTTCCTCCAACATTTCAGTAATGACCACAAGTATGTGTTTCAGAAATCGTGTCATTCAGACAGATGCCTTTATTATTTGGAGACCGAATGACAGACAAAAAGTAATAACGAATTATTATATAGCGGTTCTATCGGAGGTCAAAATAAACGAAAAGTGTCACAGTATCAACAGAATGTGGGCTTTTTATGTTCTTACCATTGAGAGCTCTCTTACGATCACTGTTGTCCAAAGAAATCCGTTCCAAAACATTTGATGTTTTCAGCAAAATAGTGATATCTAAATTTTGCAATTTCTGTGCTGTTAACAATGTTTACTGTAACACCACAATATGTTGAACCATATCTTGATACATAATGAATATGTTGAAAACAATATTTATTACAGTCATACAAGAACATTCATGAGCATACATTTATGAATCCTGATTATCGATAGCTTCTAATAATTTACATTTATGAATCTTGTATAGAAAAAGCTTTTTTATATTTACATTTATAAACCCTGTATTACGATAGCGTTTTATTATTCACATTAAATTTTATAAACCCTGTATTACGATAGCTTCTTATAATTTGCTACAACAAACGGTTGACGGGCCATATTAATGAAAAGCATGTAAGTGGTCGTAATACTTATTAAGTGGAAGATCGGGTGCTTTCAGTCACAATAGAGTATTACATTTGCACATACATTACAAAAATATACATTTTTTTAAATTAGACAATGAATGTATTGACTGTTAGACAATGCATTTTCTGGAATGTTCTTATTATGATTCAGAATTGCAATATCTGTAAAACTTCCATAAAACATTGAAGTTGTCATTTATGACAGGTCTAATTGACCTATAAGGAGGCCGATATTCCCATATTGAAGAAACGCTCCTTTTTTACAAATTTTACACTCATTGCTTAGTACCGGTTGATACGAGAATGTTTCAATCAGCTTATAGCTCCACAATATAACCGACCTAAAATAAATTAGTATAAACTTATGTATATGTATAATGTATATGACTCGCCGAAGCGTATATTCCGACACAGTCATTATTTTCGCTCTCGCATTTGTGTAAATATTATTATACGTAGCACAATATAGATATAAAATCATCGTTAGGATAGTAAGTCATCTCCCTTCATATACAACACATTAAGTATCAAACCTGATAAATTAATACAAACAATCTATATCTTATTGTTTTCCAACGATAAAACATCCCTGTAAATGCTTTCCATTCACACACAAAATGGCACTCCATGCATGTTAATACAATGAATTTCAACTACATTTATATCATTTATTTTTACTCTCAATATCTCAAATTTGTAATTCAAATTCGATTTTATCATATTTCTTTTTTTCTGTATGCATACGCAATAATGAATTAGCCAACAAAAACATTTCATTCCCTTTTTAGACTAGCCTCGCGGACATTTTTGATAAAGTGAGCGTGCATGGGACTTTTATAGGGGAACATCAATATATTTCAGCTGGAATTTAAAGTTATTTTCTACTTAGAGTGATATTCTATAAATGGAAAGCAGTTATATGGACGTTACTCGTGGCGATTTCGGAACCTCTATTGGCATAAAACATACCGACGTACCTTTTAAAAGTTTGATATTTCATCAATCGTATGTCAGGGTGGGTGACTTTCTATTTTAACGATGATAATCAAAATATGACTTTTTTCTCTTTAAAAACGCACGAGCAATAGTCATATTATTGTTCTTGATTTAATGATTATCATCTGGAGATTATGTAACGATTTTCATCATAATTGACAAGAAGAACTGGCCGGATTTTTGAGGTTTGACCATGGAAAGATGGCGATAATGTGTCAGTCGAACATAGCAACCATCAACAAAATTGAATGGTCTCTTCCCTGCGGAAAGTGGAGTGTGAGAAAGGTGACCGATTCTTTCTGGCATTATCATACCAAATTGTAACATGATCCAGAGACACTTAAGATCCGAGAGAGAACTTTGAAATAAAATAATGCTGGTGTCATTTCGTCATGAACGTCATTAATTTTATTGTTTTGTGAGCGTGCGCCATTTGCGTACGCTTTCTTATTTGTAATTTTCACAGACATATATTGTTTTAATTGTTTCACTGTATATGGAGGACATGTTCAGATATTTGTCTCCTGTAAAATTGTGTACGTCAATTTAAAAATTTGAACAGTACAGACGCCATCTTCGCAGATTTTGTACATGTTTGCATATTTTACATTCCTCCATTACACCATATCGTACCATTTCACATCGCTTAAAAAGTATCGTACCGCTTTGCGTGGGATCCCATACAGAATTAGGATCTTTATAACATAAGCATCAATTAAATATTCATTGAACTTCGGTTGTAATTTTATATTGCTTACTACAAACTATTACATGAGAGAACAGTAACAATATACAATATAATACAAAAAAAACTTTATTGCAAATCAAACATTTTAACAATGTTTATAGCAAAAACATATATATATATACATGTTATGAAAATGAAATCAGACATGGCATGAGAAATAAAGATATTATTGCCTGAAAGGGCTATACTAATGAGAAAATAGCATGTTGCACAAAGATTAAGTATGATATGACCACATCCAGATATTCTGTCTTTATCAGCAAAATACAAAAATTTCGAACGATTGCAAAGCTCTATAGCCCTACTAGATTAACGTATCAAAATTTTAACAAGACAGTTATTGTTTTAGCGGCGGTTAACTTTGATAGCTTTATAAAACTATAAACTGGACGTATAATAGTATATCACACATTTGCAGTGCCACAAAAAAAAATGTCATTTTATCAAGGGACTTACAGTATATTAATACTTAAATGTGGAATAGGAATAGGTTAAGTATAATGTTTTCATGATACAGTTCTTCTGAATTTAAGGAAATTCTAACATCCAGGAACTTCTAACATCCGAAAACTTCCAAAATCCGAAGATTTTCAGGGTCCTCTGTTTTCTATGTTATTAATACCAATTTATAAATTCTGAATTCCGAACGATTTTTCCAGTAGAATTTGGGTTATATCAATTCAAATTTAATTTCGGAAATTGAAAACAGCGGTGAAGGAATATTATACATGTGATTGCAAAACCTTCAAAATGTTAGTATCTTCCAATTAGCAGTAACCATTTATCTTAACATCTATTAGAATCACAACCTGTCAAGCATATCAAACACTTGATTAAAGTGTGAAAATTAGAAATATGAGAAGAATAATGTGATGAAAAAAGATAATAGGTACTTCATGACATATATAAAATGATAAATTGTGATAATTTACATTATCACCTATTTTTCAACAAATACAGTAATTATAATGAAATTTAAAATAGTTATGAACTTTTTTTTAAAAGTCCTGTATTTTGCCATTTTATGAATTAATCAGCTTCATATATTTTTCATAATGTCTTACTTAAACAATTGATGTTTAATATCTTTACTTGTTCAGATAACTCGAACTTCTGAATTCCGGAAACTTCCAAATTCCTAACATTTCGGCTTGTCCAAGAGGTGTGTGGTTTTCAGAAGTTACACTGCATGTCCCGGACAGTAATTCAGACATAGCAAAAATTACAATTGTGTTGTTTTCGATTTGCAACGTAATAGAAAAATATAAGTTGATAGGAGTTGATACACATTGCTTTCAATAACAAAACTGTATTTTATCATACGCTTCCGTGACCTTGTGGTAAAGGTAAATGACTTTAAACTACTTGTCCCTCCCCGCTGTAGGTTCGAATCTTGCCAGGGGATTATTCCATGTGATGAAGCTTATGTAGCTTACGGAACCTCGGTGGTTCTTCTTTAGTGCCCTCTCGTGCCTGAAATAATGCATAGAAGGTCTTCTTCCACTGGTAAAAATTGAAAGTCACCGTCTAGCCTTTACAGTCTTGCTGCAACGCAAAAACAATCAAGAAAAAGAAAAGAACTTGTGACACTCAGTACCTCTTCCTTTAATTAATTTAATTATTTTATGCAGATCAATGTTTTGAGTACTTACATATTATATCATGTTCTCCTTTTTAAAACGTTAACTTAACACATACCGGTAACTACCAGTTCATCCGGTCAACTTTATGATACAGAGTTTATTTGTTCAAACAGTTTTTCAGCAAGTAGTTGAATGATGTCACGGAAGGTTCTGTCAATATTTGACATGAACGCTGCAGGAATACGATACCGCGTGTAGTCCTGAACAACATTAATAAAAGTTAATATTGACATTGAATCAAGTCCCAAATCAGTCAGTTTAACATCAATGCTTGTACTGGGATCGACTTCGCCTGTTACTTTGCTTGCAGCATGCAAAACAAATCGTGTAAGTGCCGAATATTGTTCCTGTTTACTTGTATCTCGGAGACTTGTGATATCAAATTCGTAGAATGAACTATCTTCATCAAAAGTTTCATGACAAGAAACTAGTTGATCAAAAAGCACTGACATGATATTTCTATGCCTCTCCATCATTGGAACTGAATAATTCTTTGACATTGTTTCCCAGTTTATATCAGCATATACAATATTGGTGGAGTTCTGCATTAATGCTGCTTGCAAGCAGCAACGTACTTCCGCAACGGACAGTAGGTTAAAACCCCGTTTAGCGAAATTGTCGATAAATTCAGGCCTCGATGCCATTCCGACATTCAAAGGACCCCAAAGAATCGATTGGCCGGCAAGACCCCTTTTTCGTCTCCAATCAATAAAATCATCTAAAAAGCAATTTGCCGCCCCGTAGCTACTTTGTCCTGGAATGCCAATCAAACTGTTGATTGAAGATGACACAACGAAATAGTCCAAATCAAGTCCGTTTGTAACATGATGCAGATTCATTGACCCTATTACTTTTGGTTTCAAAACAATGTCGATGTCATTTTCTTCTATATTACTTAGAAGTTTTCCATGCAATACCCCTGCACAATGAAAAATACCTCGTATGCTTGCAGAACCAGACCGTTCTTGAATTTCATGCATTGCATTTTCGAGGGATTTCAAATTTGTAACATCTCCTTTTATATTTACAATCTTACAACCAAACTTCTTTTCTATGTTTGTTATCTCATTTTCTTTCTCAGAGTTGATTCCTCGTCTCGATATTGTTGCAACTGTTGCAGCGCCCATTTCAATCAGGAGGATGGTTATTTCCCATCCCAGACCAGTTGTTCCTCCCGTGACAACATACACCCCGCCTTTGCTGAATAGTTTACACAGGGGGTTTCTGATTGGAAGAGCTAGAGCGAATTTCTATGTCACCTTAACAGAAGAACATGCTTCATTGACCACTGCGTCATTGACCACCTGTAATGTTAAAGTGTGCATTTTTGATGTGTATGAAACAATCGGGAAAGTCGCAGACAACAATAAGTCTTTTGTTGCCTTTGATTTCAAGGACATTTCCTGATGATAGCTTTTCAGCCATGGAACAATTGCTCTCAAACAAATTGTTATATTTTTCTCTGTTAACAGGTCAGATGCGTTTAAACAAACAAGCTCTCGTTCCCTTTGAAAGGTAAAATATTGTCGAACAGCTTCCGATAGACAACCTTGAAGGACAATTACCAATTTACAACTGCTCAGAAGTGAAAAATTTGAATCCATTTTTCCAATGATGATAAGAACATTCTGACCTCTTTTCCGATCTCTTTTAAAATCTCCTTTTGTTCCTTTTACGTGTGAATGTCGTCTTTCACATAAAACGCTTTTCAAAATCATAGCAAGCGACTTGCATTCATTTTCACAGTAGATCAGGACATTGGAATGTTTCGGAACATATTCTGAAAACTTCCAGCTAAGGATTGTGTTGAGAAGCGTGCCAGGCTGGTAATGTGGAAAATTGTCTAACCTTACTGTACAGGTTTTTGGAACACACACCTCTGTCATAACTTGTGTCGGATATACACATACTACTTTCTTTTTCGTATCGGAACATGCATCTTTTGAAGGTACTTTAAGATCGGATTTTCTGTTAATCTTGTAGCCTGTATACTCAATGCCAAGGATACTTAAATTGTCTTCTTTCAGGGGACCCTGATGTGGTGGAGTTAAACGATCTGTCTTTCTCGGTGATATTAACACAGGGTGTTTATACACTGATGTTATTTGTATTCCAATATTTCCTTTCGGTTGAATTTCTTGTTCAAGTGAATACTCCGTAAGATAGACCAAATTTTCAGTATCTGAACTCAGAGAACATGCCTTATAAAGTCCTCTTAGGCTTCCAAGTAGTCTTGTCTCTGCTCTCACATTAGGGATGTGATTACTTTTCTTTGTCTTTGAAAACTGGGCCCCATATATTGTGTTACGATGAATAACGATTTCAGGTGTCAAAGCTTTTACATCTTGACATGTATCAAATATGAGTTGTATTAAAGTTTCGTTCGTTTTCAGAAGTGATGGCTGCAGGTCTATGAGCGTTATCTCGTTGTATATAAACTCTAAGCTTATTGAGCGTACAAAGCCCCATATTGCTCCACAAGTAAGTGTTTGCTTTACTGAAGTAGATGCGACTTTTTGTGCATTTTGGGTGGCAATATATACTGGAACACTCAAATTCTGTTCCGTCAGATGTCTTAAGAGAGCAACAATGATAAAGCAGTTTTCTATGACATGATTATGAATCTCTTGTGAGTCTTCTGCTTCGAGACTGGGGGCTGTTGGTGGTTCCGTTACAATTAATAGCACAGCGGACAAGTTTTTGATGTTTTGAGATTTTGAAAAGCCAAATTCGATTGCTTCTTGAATATATTCTTTTACCTTCATGCGTTTTTGATTTTGAAAAAGACAAACATGTGTGCAATCACAAAAGAGAGTTTCCATTTTGTCATCATATATGTTTGTTAACGCCAGAATGTTGACCTCTTTACATTCAGCTGGAGTGAAATTCCTAAGTTGATGCCATTCTTGATTGTAGCTAAGCTCACATGGCGCTTTACAGTCATTTCTGCTTCCGTAAATTGTAAAGTTTCTGACCTCCGCTACAACAAATCCACCAGACGTCGTCAAAAGAACATTGTAATGAGTTTGCAAAACAGTATCTAAAACGGTCGTGTTTGTGCGATAAGTGTATATATTCATATACTTTTCGGGTTTTCTGAAGACACTGATTTCCTCAATAGCAACTGGGAGACACGAAATCCTTTCTGTCTTTATCATTTGAACACTATCTTCTTTAATTGTGTGCAAGGTTGACTGTATCATTACATCTAGAATACAAGGGTGAATGATTGTTGATTCACTTTGTTTTATGACGAGATCAGGAACTTCTATTTCCGTGACACTTTCTTCTCCATTTGTATCACAATGTTTCATCATTTGGAAACACTCTCCGTATTTAAACCCCATTGATTCAAGAAAGCCATATATTCCATCAGAGTTTAAATGTGTGCTTGAATTGACCGTCATGTTGAATTTCAAGGTATCAATATCTATCCTGTTCTCTTTCTGTATTTTGGATGCAGGTTGTACCCAACCCTTGCAGATTGTATTTTGACTGTTTTTAATGTGAAACAGAATTCCCTTGTCCTCTTCTATTGTATTTACATAAAGTACACATTTTCTTCCCGTTTCTACCTTCATCGGCCTAAGAAACTCTAGAGAAACCACTACGCTATAACAGGCGATACCAAAGACATTTCGTCCAATGACAAATCCAATATCTGCATAAGTTGCACCAGGAATAATATATGCTCCAGACACGACGTGTTCATATATAAAAGCAGTTGCTTTCGGATCAAATTCAGCTTGATAATTAGACAAATTTGTATCAAATCCAGTTTGCCTTACATATAGGTGCATTGTATCTGAGGAATATGACCCTTGGATCCTCGCAAGAGTTTCTTGACTTTGATACAATTTTCTGTGCTTTCTGAGATTATTCGACGGTATATCTGTTACTTCTTTTCTGCAATGGTGTATTCTGGTCCAATCCAAGTTCACGCTGTTTTCATACAATGAACATAGAGTACTAGCTAATGTAGTGATTTCCTTATTTTTCATCATTGAAGACAAAATTGAATAGGAAGATTGGTCTGTAAGTATGCTGCCTATGTGTGATCGTAAAACAGGTGAAGGTCCGATTTCCAGGAATATGTTTTGAGAAGACATAGCTCCTGCATTTTCAACGGCTTTGGAAAAAAGAACTGGTTGTCTTATATTTTGTTTCCAGTATTCACCCGTCCCAATAACATCAGCGTATCCTCTTTCTCCAGTAACCGTTGAAATAAATGGTATTTTACTTTTGATTACGTCAATATGTACCTTCTTCGCAAGTTTTTTGGCAGCACGATTTACGTAAGTGCTATGATATGCACATCCTACATTCAAGTTGATTATTTCAGGATTCAAGCTGTCTATGTTCTGTAGCATTTTCTTAAACATGTCGATATCTTCTTTTTTTCCAGTTACAGTGCAAGATAATGAGCTATTATAAACTGCAATTGAGACTCCTTTACAACCTTTGCAAAGCTTTTCAGTGATAGAAACATCAACATTACGAATAACGGCCATTGAACCTTCCTTTACTTTCGACAGGTACTTTGATCTGTAATAAATGATGCGTACAGCAGTTTTAAGATCAATATATCCTGCGACATGCGCTGCTGCCACTTCTCCGACAGACTGGCCTATTACAACATATGGTTCTACACCAAAATGTTTCCACAAAGCAGCTAGTCCAATCTGGCAGGCAAATATTGCAATATGGGTTACCATAGCTTCAGTGGTAAAATCGTTGGATTCTCTTATCTTTTCTGATATCGACCAGTCAACCCTTTTTTGTAAATATGCATCAACCTTTTGAACAGCCGTCCTAAAGACCTCAATTTTCATTAGATTGGTGCACATTCCTTTCCATGCTGTCCCAACACCACAGAAAACGAAAATTATTTTCTTTTCACTTGATGTTAATGAAACATTTATTGGATTATTGAGATATAATTTACATGCGGACATCAATGCCTCTTGTGTTTCACCGAATACTGCTTTCCGTAATGGTTTGTGGTCGTGTTTACATGTTGATGTACAAGAAACTGCAGATACATCGTACTCATGAACATTTAAATGTTCAAAGACATTTTTTACGATTTCTACAAGACTTATTTCATCATAAGCAGACATTGTAACAATGTGAGGTAATATTGTGTCAACCTGTCCTTCACCATCAGGATAAACGAATTCCTCTACAATTGCATGAGCGTTTGTTCCCCCAAACCCAAAGCTGTTTACACAGGCTGTGAGTTTTTCAGAGCCATTGGATTGCCATGTGATGCATTCTGTTGGAACAATAAACCCTTTATCGTTCAGATTTAGTTTAGGATTTTCATTGTATTTGTTATACCAAAGAGACGGTACTATCAATCTATGTTGCATCATAAGAAGCACTTTGATTAACCCTGCCATTGCTCCTGCAGCTTCTAAATGACCAATATTTGTTTTCACAGATCCAATGTATGCTTCCACCGATGCTGTTTTGCCAAAATGCTTTGCTAACGCATTTACTTCTATCGGATCTCCCACAGGAGTTCCTGTACCTGTAAATTGGTTGAAAACGTTCGATTAATAGCAGCAATTTTCTGATAGCAATGCTGTACAAAATGTACTTTATAATGTTGACAGTTATTAATTACTGATGTAGTTGAAACATTTAAACCATTTTATTCTATTTAACACCTTGTCCAATCAAATCGTCAGTTGTTCGTCTAGACTGTTTAAAAGAAGTAATTTGACTCGTTATTTTTTACTGATAGTTGGATACTTTCGATACACCTGTATTAAGGTGACCATCTCTTAAGAGTATATTGACATTATTTAGAAAATTGGTTATATTTGTTTTTAACAACAATTGGTTAGTTAACTTTTCTATAATTATCTATCTATAATTCCAGCAAAAATTGTTGGCATAGGAAATATATTACCATGTGCTTCAATCACCCGAATTCTAGACTTTTGCACTTGATGTTGTTCATAGAGGTTTTTAATCAAAAGCTCTTGCTGCAAACCAGATGGCGCTGTGATAGGCACAGTCATGTGACCATCTTGATTCGTGCCAGTCTTTATCGTTCCCCAAATTTTATTTCCGTCTTGCTTAGCCTAGTCAGATAAAAAAATTATTGTTTAGGGGATGAAGATCATGTTATAATATAACAATATTTAGAGTGATTTGTTTCATAAAGAAAGGCATGTTATACAAAAAATAGTCATGTTGTTACGATTATGTATTATACACGACATCAAACTACGAAATAATTATGCAATGCTAATGCTGGTTAGTGTGAATTGCGTGATCCAGTATTACATATTTTCTATAATAGATAACTAATTGTTCTGGAACAAAGTATTGTTTTATCATATAAATGCTCATGATATTAAATCACTAATAACTCTAAAACATTGTGTGTGTTGTTTTTTTTTAGAAGTATGTATATCCAAATTATACCATTATGTTGTTGTTTATTTTTTGTTTCTGTTTTTTTGTGTGTTTTTGTTTGTTTGTTGTATTTTTGTGTTGTTTTTTTTGTTGTTGTTGTTTTGTTGTTGTTGTTTTGTCAATATTTGAAACACTCTTGAAAAATGTGCTAATAGTAGACAAATTCTCTTTAATACTATTTTGTTATAAAATAACATTAATTATAAATAGAAGACTTACAGGTTACATTAAATAGAAATAACGTGGTATATTAAAGAGAACGGAAAGAATATTATTTCAAATTACATTAAATATCTAGTACATTTTCCAGTTTAATTAATTTCGTAATTATTATCACCAATAAACTTCATTTACATCATGCAATGTCTTTAAAATAACAATTCCACATCCTTCCCCTCTAGCGTAACCGTCAGCTTCTGAAGTAAAAGTTTTACATTGACCACTCGGAGACAGCATTCTGGCTTTGGAAAGAATGACAAACATCTGAGGATCCAGGAGAACATTTACACCTCCACATATGGCTGCAGTGCATTTTCCTAAAGCATTACGAAGAGACTCAACGCATAAGTATGTCTTATATATAATAAATGTATCGCTTAATCAAACCAGCCAGTCTAAACAAAATATAAATGCATCAATGCATTTGCTTATTTGATATAGTCTTTACGTAGTAGTTAGTTGATTCTCTTAACTTACAAGTCATAGAATAGATAAGAAATTTGTGAACCTTTGCATATTATGTTCTGAAACAATTTACGTGGTTGTAGTTTTACTGTTATTAAATGTATTGTTGGCAATACATGCATAATTTGGAATATACACAGTACCTGTTTGTAAAGCTTGAGAAGCCACGTCTATAGCAACAAGAGAAGACGAGCATGCTGTATCAAGAGTAAGGGCAGGACCTGTAAGGTTGTATGCATACGATACTCTAGCACTAATAATACTGCTGTGTGTACCTGTTACTGTATATATGTTACTGAGTGTATTGTCTTCTGCTGCCTGAACTTTATAATCATCTGTCATGGAGCCTGTAAAAGCAGATTCATTCTGATAGCAACAGCCAAGATAACGCAACAATAACTTTTCTGGTCAATCACTATAAATACTTATATAAAGACTTGTTTATATTAATGGCATCATTGTGGAAGCGTTTTCAGAACCTTAATTCCTATAATTATCATGATAATACCAAGTAAAAATTTATGATTCTATAACTTTTGAAACATATAAACTTTTAGAAATGATTGGTTGCTGATATGGTCTTTTGGTAATCGGTATTACTATTTTGTAAAATGTCAAGGCATACTGTAGAAATTTAATTTTATTTTAACATATCTATGTGCTAATTGACAATTATTAGTCCTAGAATTTTGTCAAACCTATGTAAACTCCAATGTTTGCGCCATCAATGTCTTTTTTCATGATACCACCATCTTCTAATGCCATATGTACGCAGTCTAAAACAAGTCTCTGCTGGGGGTCAACAACCTCGGCCTCTACGTCGCTAATTCCATAAAATTTGCTATCCCATTTGTCAATACTGCAAATAAAAATGCTCATGTTCAAAAATAAAACAGGATCATTCATTATAATCATAACAAATCGGCATCAGGGCATTGAATTAAATATTTAACACGAAATCAGTTGATGTTAAGCACCAGGAGCCGGGAGTAGTAGCAGTTTAGATAGGATTTAAAGGTATGTTGTAGGATTTTCGGCTTGACAAGAAATCAAGTTCTTCGCAATACTATCAAGGATTGATAGGCTGGCGCTTCTTCAATAGTGTGTGTTTTTAAATATGCTGTCTTGTTATATATAATAATTGCACCATTACGTAATACGATGTAGTTGTAATATTTATGCTATATAATGTTATATAGAAAATGAACTGAAAAGAAGACCTTCTGGATTCAATTAAAATCAAACATATTAATGTCATACATGTACTATGAATTGTTATACGAGATCAAAAATAATGTAAAATGAAATAAAACATCAGTTGGTTTTGAAAAAATAGCAGCATTAGAGTAATTATAGAAGAAAAGAAATAGTATCACAAGAGCAATAATAGTATGAGTTAAAGAAATTGCGCATATGCATAAAATGTACTTTGGTGAAAATGGCGTGCATTTTTTTACGGGTATCTCACAAGTTCTTGGGATATAAACTAAAACAGCGTTGATTCTAGGGCATGGTCAGATTTAGAACATCTAACGATACGTTTAAAACAAAAAAGGTGTCTAGTTGACTTTAATCATATTGTATATAAAACACAGTACAACATGGCATTATTGGCATCTAAAACGAAATAATAACAAAATTAGGTTCCTATTACTTACAAAATACTCTTAAAAGCAAAACAATATATATCCTTTAATAATGGAGACCGAACTTAAGTACTGCGCTGTCAAAATATGTGTTATGAAATCATGTCAGGTCAGTCCTTAGGAAATAAATTATTCGCTCGCTTGGTTTAACATGGAGAGAATGGTATTAGTATTTCAAATGTTTGATAACCGGGCAATAGAAAACAATTCCGTGACAATTGAAATCGGTGAATTGAGCCAAGAAAACATTTGTCTCTCATCGCTGAATTCGTGTGGGATTAAAAGTCGGTCACTTTGGAAGAAATCTGACATTTATGGTTAATTATCAAGAAATGTCGGTTAGAGTCAGCCGAAAAATCATAACCAAAATGTATATTAAATCGGCGTAAAAACAACACACAAACAAACTGTTAATATATAATTGATATGTAAAATGTCAATGTAACCCACCTTTTTAATGGATGCAAACTGAATAAGGTTATTATGTTAATTTAAAGGCACGTTATGCCTCGGAAATCCTGTTAACTTAAATCTTTAAAAAATGTTTAACATGTGTTTAATAATGTTATAATAATAAATTAACAAGTGCTAATTCACTTTAATAAAATTAATTGCTCACAAAGCAAAAGGAGCAAAGATAGTTCAAGAGATATCTTGCATACGGCAAATGAATATTTTTTCGAGATACTAATAATTAAAAGTTTTTGAGAGAAAAATATGATATGATAATAGCATTTCTGATGCATTATGGGCGTTTAAGTAAATGGGAACATTATCTGTGTTTTAAAATAATGGCTTTGGCTAATGGTTTTCTTATGGCGTTAGAATTCTGCCAATTAATTAGTTTTCGGGTTATTAACATAAAGAGCATATATTTGAAAGCCTGTAAAGCCTAATATACTTTTTTTCCAAAGATTTTTCCTTTTATGCACTCTTGCAATTTCAAAAAAAAGACATTTCACATTTAGCGTTATTTCTTTCAGGTTATAAACAAATAAAACAATAAATGAAATGAGTATAATTATTATATTATATGAATGGTTAGAAAGAGTTTGGTGATAGATTAAAGAGACGTTTTCCACATTAAATTACATGATTCAATGGACCATGTTATTGCAGTTCGGTTAAAATTCAATCTACTTTTACAGATCGCTGCATAGATCTACATATTTTAATAGTAATAATAATACTAGTTATCAAAGTTGTCATAAAAATTGTAAAAATAGTACGTTAAAAAATACCGGAACAGAAGTAACACATATAGAATATTTATGGACTGAAATAAGTTTAATCCTTAAATGTTATTATCTTCGTCAAATTGTTGTGTAGTGTATCGCAGCAACGTTATCAAAGAAAAAGTTTTGCTTATACTTAAGCAATTTGTCGGGCCATTAACAAAGCATCAGTATAAGAAAAGCAGAAACATATCAATACGTGGCAAGAAGTCAAGATTGCATGTGCATTCGCGTTAAATAATTCTTTAGTAAAGATGAGAAAACCTCAATGATCTTAAAATGGAATGTGTTTATTCACTAATTCCTCGTCTTTATAAAATGTACCAAACATAAAAGGTTCATAAGATCAAAGACAGAATAGCAAAGATATTAATTAATGTCATTGGGTATAAATAGCATAACAAAATGAAAAAACTATTGAAAATATTAGAATGTGATGTATTTGATTTTATCCAAATAAGCGTGTATGATCATAGAAATGAACTACTTTAAATTAAATGATGTTCTTACGAAAGTCCGGTAGGGCCATTTCAATTTAATGAATTCCTGATTTCATCTTCATGAATTCACAATTTAAACTTCATGAATTCCCGTTTTCAAAATACGGTTTTCACGAATTCATGGTCCAGCTTAATGAATTCACGACTTCAACTTCACGAATTCACGATTTCAACTTCATGAATTCGCGATTTCAACTTCACGAATTCACGATTTCAATTTCATGAATTCCCAAGTTCATCTTCATGAATTCACGATTTCAACTTCACGAATTCACTATTTCAACTTCATGAATTCACGATTTCAACTCTACGAATTCAACAACGTGAATTCACGATTTCAACTTCGTGAATTCACGAATTCAACTTCACCAGTTCACGATTTCAACTTCATGAATTCACGATTTCAACTTCACGAATTATCGATTTCAACTTCATGCAGTTGAAATCGTGAATTCGTGAAGTTGAAATCGTGATTCACGTTGCTGAATTCGTGAAGTTGAAGTCGTGAATTCGTGAAGTTGAAATCGAGAATTCATGAAGCTGAAATCGGGAATTCATGAAGTTGAAATGCCCCCACCGGTCTTTCGTATGTTCTATATACAGTCATAATACACCCATTGACAGTCTCTAAATGAACTACGTAAATAACCGAGGTATATCGAGTGAAAAAATACGAGTTGTTCCCTTTTCTTCGAGTAAAATATATATCCCTAATGCTAAAACAATACAAATTCAGCCATTTTAAACTGCTAGTGTTGGACGATTTAATGTCCGATTTTAAAATTTATTACACCGGATCTTAGCTTTGTCTCAGTATATAGTTTTACAATTTACGGTTAAACCTAGCACAAGTTAGACCAGTCTACAAACAATTTATAGTGAGATACGCAACTCGCAGCTGTGTTTTAGTATTTTAGCCGCCAAATATAATTATATTAAAAGATGGTTCTATTTTCCACTTCTATTTAAAAGACAACGTGTCGTCTTTAAACATGTTTGATTCAATATCATCCAAAAAATTTATGTCAGTATGGTATTAAGCCAATAGACAATTAAATAAAAAAAAACATCTTAATATTCCTCAAATTTCAAAATAAATAAATTTACAATAGGAATAATTCATATCCCTTTACTTTACAAATCATTCAATTTACCAAACAATACATAAGAACAGAGCATGCATGTATATGTAGAATCTATACTTTATTCATTTAAGAAAAAGAAATCATTTAATGTGCACGATAAGTCAATCAATTGTTGTTACGCCCACACAAAAAGTATGAAACATTATCGTTATAAGAGTTAAAGCATATAACACATACCCGCTGACAAAACCCGCCTTGCGAACGTATGTTTTTCCAGGGGCACTCGGGTCTGGATCATAAAACGCATCAACGTTCCATCGCTCACGTGGTATCTCCTTGACGTGATTTTCACCCCTGTGAAGTACTCTCCAAAACTCTCTAAGATTATCTGCCCCCGGGAAACGGCATCCGACACCAACTATTGCAATTTCGTCCATTTTCTTATGAAGTTATTCATTTGCAAAAACCGACCAAGTTTATAAAAAAAACAACCTTACATACACATGTTTTATTTTTTACTGTTTAAATATTGAAGGTTCATCGTCAAATTTGACGGTTATTCAAAAGCAAATCCTTATATACAACTATAATTACCAAAAAGTTATTTACCTGAACGAATTGTACTAATAAAACAAGTCGTAAGTTGTATTTCTAATTATTAACCAGTTTGTGTGATACAATCTTGGATATATCTTGACGCATGACAAAACTGTTGATCAATTTTAACAATTTCCTATTTTAAAATTTGCAAATTAAGTCTTGAGTTATGCGAAACATCAAAACAATTTAATTATTTTGTTTTGATAAACACCTTTATGTTAGTGTTGATGTTGAATGAAACGCCAATCTTAGTGTTATTAACGAAAAGCATTGCTTCTTTGCGAGAGATGGTTAACTAAACATGTAATGCGTAGGTGTGGACTCAACCTATTTTATTTTTGTTATTTTCACTTCTTCCCAAACAGTAAAGCTGGAATGTATCTATTTTTCTTTTATATAGTGTATGTTTGACTTTAAACTCAAGAAATCAGACTTAAATGCATCACAATATTTTTAACTTAACTGAATTTTAAGTGCTTCCTTTAATCTAATAAATAAAGATAAAATATTTTCTAAAATATGTGCTTTCCTTTAATCAAAGTTAATTATTAACTTTCAATATTTTCGTTGCACATGAAAGCTCCAAGTATTCTTACTATCACTTAGTTTTCACTGGTTATTGCTATACATTCTATAAATTCTATAACTTAAACAAACTAGGCCAATAATTTTTGTGATAATTTACAAATATGATAATAGTTCATCTTATTTTATTTTATTATAAAAAGATGGTCTTGTACCGTCCATGAACTGGAGCCTGCAACATTTACAATTTTGTCGTTTTGTGCGTTCTTTGGGGATTCTTTATTTCTCTCATTATAATAAATTACAAAATATTTCATGTACTTGTAAAGCCACTGGTCTTAACCAGCTACCTTCTTCAATTTTCTGGATGTTACCGAGTATACCCAGCATCATGAATGAGCAAGTAACGCAAAAGTAAAACCGAATCTGTCCAACAATATGGCCAAAACGAAAAAGAAAGTAGGTAAACGGACGAAAATATGTTACCTTAATCGAATTTCGGCCACAGAATTGCACATTATGCTTTACTTTTGCAAAATTACTGCGTATTTTGCAAAGCGTTACTGGACATACCCGGTGCATATGTGATTAAATTAATCTAAAGAATAATCATTTTAAATCTTATAGGTAAGGTGATCTAAGTAATGTTGAAGCGTAAAATTTGGAATAGTTCGATAAAACAATGATTCATTAGAATATTCTATTATGCCAATTTTGTTTGAATTGACCATGTAACCATTGCTAACTTAAGACGCACACGTACACGCACACCCACGCGCGCGCACGCGCACACACACACGTTCTTACGCACAACTATATTATTAAACTATGGTGCAAAGAAGTCATTAAAGAACTACGCGTCAACATCGAACATTGGTAAAATGTATGATAATAATAATAATAATAATAATATGTTTACTTTTTTCTATAAACCCATTATATCAAGTAGCCTGGTCATTGACCAAAAATATGTAAAAAACAACATTTAGTAATGTTATTAAATTATTTGATGTATGAGCAGTCGTCTTTATTTACGAGTTTAAAAAGATGTTGATGAAGACAGATTATATTTATACATTTAATTGAACTTCATGGCCTGTGGTTCCTTTCTATAGGGAGAACCAATTCTTTATAATAAAACAAATATGAGCCGCGTCACGACAAAACCAACATAATGGGTTTGCGACCAGCATGGATCCGACCAGCCTGCGATTCGGCGCAGTCTGATCAAGATCCATGCTGTTCGCTTACAAACTCTATAGCCAGTAGAGAAACTGATAGCGAACAGCATGGATCCCGATCAGACTGCGCGGATGCGCAGGCTGGTCTGGATACATGCTGGTCGCAAACCCATTATGTTGGTTGTGTCGTGACGTGGCTCATATAATTAACTTACTTGACCTATTGATTATTGAACTGGTTTACTTAAATATGTTCTCACGAATCGTACGAACCAATCAAAAAAGTTAATCATACACACGAAGAAGGGGAACTGAAAGGGACTGTACTAAGGTTTATTTTGACATGATGGGACTGGAAATATGTTTTCGAGATTACTAATCCACTTGATATAGGTCTAGACTTATAACGTGTGTGCAAAATTTCAGATTATTTGCGCTGTAATTATTACAACTGTAAAAAAAAAACATACAACAATATGATTTTCAATTTATTCTTAGTTTAAGAGGTATTCATTCAGTCAAATGTATAACCTAATGATGCTAAGGAAGTAATTTTAACCTGAAATATCATCATACTATAACTGTCTTGATTTATTACCAAATACCAATTATCTTTTACAATTTTTCGATACATTCATAAAAATGTTATCCAACTCACGCATTCTAGTTCTAAACATCGCTTTCACCCTTTTCTTGCATAGGGTGCCATATTCAAAATTTCAATGAAATCTAATAAATAGATATTTATGTTCATGTTTGCCTACCTTTTCTATGAAGAAATGTCAAAAAGAAAGCTTGTTGTTTGGGGGGGGCTTTGTTGTTATTAAATAAAGACAGAAAGAAAAAAAGAAGATATCAGAGAGACTTAATCCAATTTAAATACTCCTCATCGTGAAATAAATGCATTATTAAGTTTCTACCTAAAAAGTTAAAGTCGTGTAGTCAATCCCTGAAAATCAGTTTAGAGAATCTTCAAAGTCACTCTTGCTAGGATATACATGTAATATGTTTTGTTACAAAAATATATATACGTGCAGTTATAGCTTTGCAAGTTGTGCATACACGAATTAATGCGCTTGAATGTGTATAATTTATGAAATGTTTTATATGCCGTCATACCCATTAGGCAGATATCTGATAATATCAAATCATATGCGTCAACCATTGACGCACGTGTGATCGTTCATTAGACCTCCCGGATTACACTACGTACATATATCATTAAATGAAAAAAAAATCTGTAAGTTCACATCACGATTAAATATAATTATATACATGAAAGCAATATAAATCGTGAGTTTAAACATCGAAGAAAATAATTATGTAGGGTAAAAGTAAAACAACAGCATCTGTTCAAAGATAAATCTTACTTATTTTGTTATTTGATATTGATGTGGGTTTTGTACTTAACCCTCTGGATGGCAGTAAGCCACTTTGAATTCACGCCACCTCATCATTCATCTGATAAACATGTCACATTTTATGAAGATTATTTTTTGCCAATTAATTAATTTTAAACATGAGAAAGAACCCAAGCTTCATATTTTTAAATATATGACTTTTCCACGTCTTGAATGTATTAATGTAAACATTTTAGTCAAATTTCTTTTTTTTTCTTCTTTTTTTGTGAAAAATAATAATTTAAATGTCAATTATTATGATATATTTTGAGATACATGCATTTTGATAATCTAAATTGTAGGGATAAAATATACAAAGCTCCCCCTAGAATGTAAAAAGTCTATCCCACGTTAACATTCTGAAGTATTTATTTATTTAGTTTTCCATGAGTCACGTGCGTTATTGATTATTTTTGTCAAATAGGATACAACACTAAAGAAAAGACGATAAAAAAGTTTTTTTTCTACTTTTACCTTTACACTCATCATTTACACTAAGATGAACCCAATGACAGTTTTACTAAGCCGTCATTTACAGCACCATTCTTTATAAGATTTTAAAAAATGCCTCCCAAAATATTAAGAAATACTGTTTTTAAAATATACCAATTTAAATTATTTTAGTTAATGTCTATAACTTTCCATATGTATCTTTATTATTTTCCTTTCCTCATTCTAATACAAGTCCTTCCTGAATGGAGTAGAATATATACGGAACCTTAATTATTTCGATGATTATCTGGAACTATATATCCAACAAGCCTCGTTTTTACCAAAAAAAACAAACAACAACTACGCATGTGCCAGTTGTATTATGTTTCGCAAATCACTAAATATCCAGTTATCTTTCAAAGGAAACTTAAATCGGTCTTCAGGTCATTCCCTGGGTTTTCTATAGTTATCCCCCTTTTTTACTAAACTCGCAGTAGTATATTCTACTGCATCTAAAAGAGCTGTTCCCCATCCTTTTTATAGAAAACGTTCCGGACAAAAATCTCACTAGACGGCTAATTAATAACCATTTCGAAGGCGATTCGCATTTTGGCGTTGTTTGTTTCTGCCAAACTATACATGTATCTTTCATTTATATGCAAATCCTCTACAGGTTTTGACATCAGGAAGGTTTCATTAAACATCAGTGATTAAAAGTGGAACCAAGTTATTGGTGGGTATCAAGAATGACACTTTTTATCATCTAAATATAAGAAATGGAAATTATTTCTCTTTGAAACACAACACATAATTAACATAAGCAACACTTTATTAACTTAAACAATATGTACAGCATATGACCGTATATCATACTAATACAATTGTGAATTTAGAATAATTCAAAGTGAAAATGTTAGTTCTCACAGTTATTATCATTATAACATTATATAGTTTTATTTCGTTCCAGATGCGTAAATTTAAATTTCCATTACATGAATTAAACGTATAACGGTAAATCCTTTATATTCGTTTAGGTTAATGTTAATTGGTAAGTATTTAGACAATGTGTTAAATGCTTAGCAATGAACAATAACCAGTCCACTAAAACAGATTATTCTAACACGACCCGCATTTTTCCCTATTGAACATAGAAGAACCGAAAGTGTGTGTTATTATGCAACAAAATCACTGCTGACGTTTTATATTTAGACTTGTGACGTAATCATAAATACATGAGACGTAACCACTAAAATGCAACGCGCTGAAAATAAGTACGGAAACAAATCAGGTGCAATTTAGCTTATTATCAGGTACGGTAACATTTATTGTTGATGTCGTGTTAGAATCGAAATAATACATGTGTATATCCAAATCGGTGATTTTATCGCCTGATAAATCACTGTTTGTCGTTCGGATGTGCATCATTATATCACTTGGGCTACGCCCTCGTGATATAATTCCTCGCACCCAAACTCCAAACAGTGATATTATTGAGCGATAAAATCACTGTTTGGGAAATATTATTTCTTAAATAGTAAGCCGATTTACCACAACAATTGTGTTAGAATGATGCAATCCTGCTGGACAGAAAATAAATTCACACACACAAATATAGAAAACAAATACATGTATCTAAAATGGCTCATCACAATGTCATATCTAAGACAATAGAATGGATGCAATATTACCATGATTGTAGCATAAATATACTGACTATAATAAAACGCGAATACAGGATTTCACAACATATATGCTCGTGTACGGTAGAAATCACAGACCAGCATTTCAATGTTTATGTCAAAACAATGATTGTACTGATTACATCTAAAGTCATCTGTGTCCCCTCTCCTTAAATACTCTCATGGTAGGACAACCTCGTAGACATCTAATGGTAGGACAACCTCGTAGACACCTCATGGTAGGATAACCTCGTAGATCCCGATAAATACTTTCTAAAGGTTGTAGCATCAAGGAATGTGGGAACCATTTTATTACCTATCTTGTACACACTATTTTTTAACAAACATGTACTTATCACTGACTGTTATAATTTATTTGTTTCAAAGCAATCAAATACAATAACAAATGTCGATAACCAACCACTTGTCTAAGTTAAACCTTTACGATCAAAGGAATCGTCACTTTTAACAACTGTCCAAATATGGGTTGCCGGTGAAACCGAAGATTCTTCACGCCCTAAGTCAGATAAGGGGACATGGGCACCTGTTTCATTTTGTTTCGTATTAGGTCTGTCTTTCTCGTCTTCCAGTTTAATATCAACCTTTGACCCCATTCCTTGAGCAGATGGACCAATCAACGACAGGATAACAGGAAGTAAGAAAAGAGCATGAAGGATCCCGAATGTGATTACAAGGCTCATGACTTGAAAAAATGAATAGAATATATATGATTTGGCTGCTGCCAACATAACTACACCCAACAACGATGAAATTGCTCCATGAAAAATTGGAGCTCCGGATCTTTCAATACCGGATTTCATTTTTTCGTTTCGGTTAGCACCACTCGAAATCATATAACCGTGACAGATATGTGCTGCAAAGTCTACAGAGAAACCAATGCTCATAATAATGTGAATCATTGTAATAGCACTTAAAGTAAGGTCTAAAAATGAAAGAAATCCGAATATCCCGAGAGTAATCATTGCAACAGTTGTTGTTATATATAGGAGCAACAGCGGATGAGGCATGAATATACACGTTACAAAAAATACCATAGCGACAGCTATTCCAACTGTTTGTAGTGTCTGAGACAAGATGGCTACATATTGCTCGTAAAAAAGAAAAGCAGGAGAAAAGGCAAATACTGAAAGAGGGCTGTGTGACACCACTTCACGCATGCGCAACATAAACTTTCCTTGTTCCTGTGATTGTTTGATACTTTCAGATATTAAATGAACCCTAGAGGCCGTTATACTAGTGTTGCTGTAATTGATAACAACATCGTTTCGAAATCGTGTGTTGCTAGGGATAATCAAAAATTTTTGAAGGCCTGAGATGAAATTTTGCTCTGTTGCATCATTGTAATTTGTAGTGTCTTTTTTATATTCAGACAGCCAGTTTATTTCCAGATTATCCTGTACTGTATTTTCGCTCTTAAGATTTGATAAAAGAGTATCAATATTCGCTTGAACTGTTGCATCCGAATAGGCAAGTGGTCTATCAAATACAATAGACAATGGGGTTCCTAAAGGAAAATTATTATCTAAATGATCCCTGTATTCATAGTAGTATGATGTTTTGGCGACAAGATTTTTCAGCTCTATGCCTTGTTCCATTTGAGTGACACCAAAAATGGAAACACCTAAATACCCTGCAAAAAGAACGAGAATGATGATTTTTGCAGGTGACGGCAATATAATTTTAGGTAACAATAACTTAGGCAGTTTATCTAAATAACTTTCAGATTCAGACTGATTTTTAGGTTTCCTGCCTGTACAGCAAAGCATGTAGCAATTTTTTGTGCCTTCTTCACTTGGTGTCTTTACTTTAAAACATGAAGCATAATGTCTGTTTTCGGCTGTCCTTTTTTCGTTTACGGCTATGCATGCGATGAAAATCGTGGCTTGGTTGATGTAGCAAAACACTACAGCTATACCTGAAAGAAAAATACGAAATTAATGAAAGTTAACAGTTTGGATTAATAATTTCATAAAGTGTTGTTTTACAAATCTTAAAAGACAACTGAACTTAAACTTAGTAAATCTAATAGTTCTGATATATATTGCTGCATATATACATATGTATGATATGCATAAAGAAGTTTAAACTGGTTTACGATTCTCTCAATATGTGGAAAATTGAATTATTTGTTCTTCCTTTGTGTTTGTATGTTTGTGTGTTCGGTGGTGAGAGTCAAAAACAATTTGACTGAATGTCCAAAATCAATTGTCACGGGAGAAGTTTCAGCTCGTCTGATCGTTTTTGTACATACCACAATAAATGCAGAAGTTTCGGACACTTAAAAATATAGAAGAAGCTCCAGCGGCAAAGGCTAATAAATCGGTGAGAGAAGTGATTGTGATTGATACACCACTGGTCCTCATTGTTTCCCCAACTCTTGTTTCAACATCGTCTGCGTAGTTGGTGCTTGTTATACCAGACATAAGCATAAACATGTCATCAACTCCAATTCCTTAAAACGAAAAAAACACACTTTCTTCAGAACGTTTTTTTAAAGAGATACTTCTGCCTAAAGAAATATGAATTAACAAATATTCAATTCAGCATGTATTTTTATTTTAATGACTAGGCAAATTTTATATCACATTATATTTTTAATTTTATCGGATGTAATATATACTCTACGTCAGTAAAACATATTGACGTTTATCAGGTAATTGCTTTACAAAACATTTTCGTTTTTCTGATTGTGGGTTGTTTGTTATTAATATAAGTAAAACATAAACTAAACACAAATCAGTCTTTCCTAATATATTATCATTTAAAATATATAGTTTGGTAGTGATTAAATAATCATTCAATCATTTATAACAGAGAAAATATTATACGTTTACCAATTATAAGAAAAGGGACAACTCCAACAATACTGACAAATTCCACCCCGCAGGCGCTTCCAAGACCAAATGCTGAAACTATTGCAAGACCAGCCGCAATAACGCCAGCAAATCCCAAATTTGACCTTTGACCAACTACGTCACATCGAGCTGTCATTGTCGCTACGCATGCGTATGTAATCATTATTGTGAATGTTATTGAAAATATCAAAATGTCACCTGACACGTTTTCATTCAATTCTTCACTAAGAGAATCAGAGTGAGAAAATGCAATATCGAAATGGTTTGATGAATACTCTTTTATCTGCGATAAAAAAGAATTTTGCCAATTTTTTGCCGTTTCTGAAAAATATTCGGTATCAGTGCGTAAATTCACACGCATGATTAACATTTTAGCAGAAACTAAATTATTTAGGGAAATATTAACGCCACCTATAAGTTGTTCATAATAGATTTGACCACGAGATGCGTGATTGTAATAAGGAAAGGGAATTGGATTGCTTGAATTGATATCACTTATAAATTGCGTGTCCACAAATATGTCTCCGTCTATACTACAAGTTCCGTGAAATCTAGCGCAAATTTCATTCAATGTAACTGTTCTTCCATTATCATCAGAAGTCTCAATTGATAGCAAAAGATTGTACAGTTCTATTAGTTGAGTGAGGAATACTCCATCTAAAATGTTACCGCTCTTTGGGATAACTATTACCTCTCCGTATCGACCAAAATTAGGCATTTGGTATCCAATGAAGTTAGAACCACTCATGTCAGGAAAGATGTCACTTAATTTGTCACTATCCTTGCTTGCCTGGCTTCCTATTGGAGTGTAGACACGTTGTACATCTATAACAACATTTAGCCTTAGCATACCAATACTTAGAAGTCCATTTATCAGAATTCCGATGATGATTATCTTCCATGGATTTCTAGCTACGAAGCGGCCATATCTTGAAAATACAGCACCAATCCTCTTTTCGACTGCATCGTAGCATTTATTTAAACAATCAGCCATTTCAGATCGTAAGTCAACCTTAATATAAAAACAGCATTTAGTAAATTTAAAAGAAACGCAATAATTAACGATTTACAGAGATATGAAGGTGAAATAAAACAATTTATGAAATATTCATGTTGAACAGTTTGTCTGTTACAAAACGATATGAGTGCAATCCTTCCTTTGTTTATTTCTTTGTTTTTTGTTTGTTTTTGTTTTGTTTTCTTTGTTGTTGTTCTTTTTTTCTTCTTTCTTTAATGAAAAAAAATATTTACGAAAATAATTCTTAATAATCTATTAAATTACATTTCAGTTATTTCATATGATGCATGTGTTTGTGAACTCAATTCATGTATGCCATATAAAAAAAGAAGATTTGTTTCAATAGTTTAAGAAGTGTTTTGAAAAGACGTAAATTATTGTTTGGCAATATTGACCTGAGACATTTGAACATTCAATGACCTCTTGTCTCTGGAGTAAACTATACGAACTTTAATGTATATATTAATTCTTTATTATAGTCTCATCTATACACATATATACATATAAAACATTTAAAACATTGAATTTGTATATAGCCATTCTCGAAAGAATTACAAGAGACTTGTTATAGCTAATACTAAGAGGGATAACTCCACAGTCCAAATTATAGAAATGTATAATGTGTATTGTAGATTTAACCTCCCTTATTTACGTATATTCTCATTCTCAACATTAACATCATATAAATCAATTGCAATAGGATGACGTAATTGCACATTGTCATTATTAAAAAGTTATTTGAGACATTTCATTACAAAATTATAATAGACTTTTTACATTCTAAAAGTTTGATAACCTCTACTGACCTTGTCTTAAAAACTGCCATAAGAAAGTATACTGTAAAATACTAAATTTTGTAATAAAAGCACTATCACGCAATATAAAAAAATGGTTTTACAAAGTCATTTATCACTCATGGTTAGACCATGGATGAACTGTTCAAAACATAGGGATAAAGAAACTTATTTATGTAATTAAAATATATCATATTCTATATAAAAATTTCAATGTGTTTAAAATTATATTAACTGTTCACTCCAGGCAGGAGGTTAGATACAGACATTACATCACATTCTTGTTTATGAATTAAGAAATGTTCTAAAGACTAACACTTATTTAAAAAATAAAAATAGAATTGTCAGTGAAACAAACATACTTAAACTGTCAGTATCTGTATATATACCCCATCTCCTACATAGAATGAGATAATATAACTTTGCTTTACACAATTTACGCTAATACTTATAATAAAAAGGATATATGACTAATCCTGAAATGTAGTCTGTTAAACTATTCATATAAATGATTGTTTCTGGGTTTTAAAATAAAAAAGCACGTTTTGGAACTTACTTTTAACATAATATGTTCATTTGAGAGTACAAAGTTTAATTTATCCTGATCACTTAAATTGTTAAATGTATGATTAAAAGGTGTAGCACTGGCAGTCAAATAAATTGAGGGTTTCTGTTCGAATCATAATATTTTTTTTTATTTTTTTTATTCTTTTTTTTCATATGTTTTCGATTATAGTTTGAAAAATTGACCACTATGTTTTGTTTACTTATACATGCGAATCACTCATTGTGTGATTTTACATATTAACATAAATTAATTGAAAAAGTATGTATTTATCAAAATAATGAAATTGAAAAATAAAAAACGCTACAAATTAAAAATATCATTTATAAACTCATGTTGCATATAATCAGTTTATGAATAAACTGGGGTTTGACGAAGATTCGAACTTGCAATCAGGTAAATATCATTCCGTCGTTCTAACCACTAGGCCATCGGGCCGTAATTTGAAATAAAAGATATCGAGAACAGTCTTAGCATTAAAATCATGTGCGTAAATCGTAATAATAACGGAAGCTTACGATATACCTTCCGAAAATTAACGAGTATCAGGTAAATATTACCAAACAATAATATTTTAATCTTTAAAATCTGTTTCGTGCATGAATATAATATTTTGTTATAACTTTGACAAAAATAGTGTTTATATAATCATACATTATTCAATCGCATATTTTTAGTCACGCCAACCTTTTTCGGTCAATAATATGACAATAGAAGTAATCGTTTCTTTCATTTTATATGCACAAGCACGTTGAGATTTATGACTTCCTGTTGTAGATTTTACAATTGAAAACTTTAATATTTCTACACTGGCAAAGAAGGCAAAATTCAACAACCGCATATATACGTTTTAAACTTTGCACGTTTAAAGAAAATCGTGATGTTAAATAATTTAGGTCATCAAATGACTTCTTTATTGTGCTGCCTTTTTTATTTTTATTTTAGTTTTATTTTTATTATTATTATTATTATTATTATTATTATTTTGCTCTTTTTATGTCAAATTTGTTTTTATCAATTCATAAATATGTTTTAATCATGATTCGCTTTAATACACAAAAAAAAGTTTTGAAAATAAAGGTGTAGAAATCTGTTAAATCAATAATACCTTTTCGAACATTTCTTGTTTTTTTTTAAACTGAATTGAAATAATGAAAGAATAATTTAGATATTTTAAAGACATTCGTATTGTATATCTTTACGATTTCTAGATTAACCATTCAGTAAATCGAATATTCATCAACTTGTTGTACGTAAATGACTTTTTGTTTATACCGATATGGACAATTAATGTGCACAAAATATGATACTTATTGGTACAATGGTAAAACGGGAACCACAAAGATCGCCACAAAAGGCAAACAGCGTAAATAAATTAGAAAATTGGTTTGACTGCACTCGTTTATGAACGGGTGTGATTTAATACGCTACTGTTTTTCACCCCTAGCACCAGCATTAATATTTAGAAGCAGTTGATAATAGCAGTTGTTATAATTAAAAAAACGATTATAAAGCAGTCATCTGGCTACCTAGAATTTGGTGCGAGCAGTGCGGCTTATGGCTGAAATAAATGAACCTTAAATAAATTACAAATGAGACAAAACAGTTCATGGAACGGATATAAAACAAGTTTAGTGATGATGCATCCACGACGGACCCATTCAAAGATGCAAACGGATATCTGAAGTTTTTCAGATCAGTAGTTCCGTAAATATGTTTATTAGTCCCCTACCGGTTTACCGGAGGGGACTTTAGGTTTACCCTCCGTCCGTCTGTCCGTCCGTCCGTCCGTCCATCTGTCTGTCAGTCCGTCAGTCCGTCCGTCCACAAAACTGGATCCCGCGATAACTTGAAAAGTACTGAAAATATTTTAATGAAACTTGGTATATGGATAGATGGCAGTATGGAGATTATGCACGTCTTTTTATTTTTTTCCTATGTTGAAAATTCTGGTTGCTATGGCAACAAATAGGCTGAAAATATGGCAAATTTTACACATATACTGGATCCAGTGATAACGCAAAAAGTACTGGAAATATTTTAATGAAACTTGACATATGGGTAGATGGCAGTCTTGAGATTATGCACGTCTTTTTCTTTTCTTCCTATGTTGAATATTCTGGTTGCTATGGCAACACATAGACTTAAAATATGGCAAATTTTACACATAAACTGAATCCAGTGATAACTCAAAAAGTACTGGAAATATTTTATGAAACTTGACATATGGGTAGATAGCAGTCTTGAGATTATGCATGTCTTATCTGTTCTTCCTATTTTGAAAAAATATCTGTTGCCTTGGCAACAAATAGGCTAAAAACATGGCAAATATAAAAATATTTGTGATTAGTCAAAAAGAGCTGAAAATTTTTATGAAATTGCATCTTTAATTCAAGAGTTATCTCCTCTTTAAGAATTTTGCTTTTAAAATGTTATATTTTGGTAACAGGGATGTTTCAAATATTAACTTTAGAGTGTCCTTCAGTCCGTCTGTCTGTCTGTTCATAAAAACTGTTTCCTGTGATCACTTTTAAAGAACTTTTCCAACAAATTTACTTAAAATAGAGAAAAATTGAAACATTAGTGAATGGCCAATGGCCCTTCAGAATGTTGATGGGGTTTTAACCGGTAGGGGACTTATGGATTGCTTGCAATACTATGATAATTGCTTGTTTTAATTAGGTTTATGCTTAACAGTTAGCGAAATTCTATGAAATCCTATTCTTTAGCCATTTTCATGTGAAGTAAAGTCAACTATACCATTACGGTAACTTCGCAAAATCGTTTTGCATCATTGTTTGCAATTCACCTTTTTATTCTTTCTTTTTTTCAAATTTGTTGTAAACAATGGACAGGTAACTTAAATTAATACATTTTAATTCATGAATAGAATTCTGATTTAAAAAAAAAGTTCAATACTCACGGTTTTAACATCTATACTGCAATACCAAAACTGTTCAGAGAACTGGTTTAAAACTGTTTTGTGCTGCCGTGTCTACATATATTTACAATCTAGCCACTGATTCGCTTAATCTAGACTTCCTTAAGCACGTAAATATTTGCAAACAGGTCATGTCGCGGTACACGTCAGGGTAAATTCCAAACATGAATAAAAGACTTCTTTGTCTGTTTTGATAATCCCTTTAGATAGTTTAATTTACAGCAATGTAATTGGAATGACGAAAGATCATTTCGTACATAGATTAAGACATGTTTGTCTGTCAAGTTTCTTTGTCTTACTTCCTGCTTTTATAGATTTTTTTGTTTGAAATTGAATATGTGTTTTCCTCCCTCCACATGACGTGGTTTTATGCAGTATTTTGAATGCATTTTTTGTTTACTATATAATCTCTTTAACAACGTGCAATGTTGTAACTACGGGCTTCGAATTTTTCCAAACAAATAATCCAAAGGGGAATTTTTAATAAATTTACGCTTATTTTGATTGGTTAAAATATAATATTTTTAGCGCATTGTGTTTATAGTTCCTAGCTCCCATTGTTTGGAATCGACGAATCGATCATCTCTTCCGGGTGTCTTCTGATCTATTTACACGTAATTTAATTCAAGGAAAGTACCAGTTACTGGTGATATATTTCTTTCGGGTATTTTTGTGAGGTGTTCCGTCTAAAATGTTCCAATCCCATGAATCATCTATGACATGTAGTTATTCGTAGCGCATTCCTTTCTAGAGTTTTTTTTCTATAAATAATGCCAATTAATCTAAAGCCTTTACATACTGATATCAGACATACACCAGGTACGTGCTTTTTAAAATAACGAAATCTTATCATCTCTCTTCTTGTTCTTTACTTTCTTTTATAACACTGGAGCTCAAAAGCGTAAACAATGTCATAGAAAAAAGGTAAAAGACATAATTTTTGCTTTTTAAGGGATTTTTTATTAATTTTTGATCTTTAGAATGCCATAATAAAATGTATTGTAAGTATGTGTATTAATTACAAATATATCTATAGTATATTTCATGACAAAAACAAATATTTGATTTAGGTATTAATTAAGATAACAACTCGTCAAGAAAAATACAGAAACATCTTTCGACTTAACCGCCATCTCATTACAACAACTTGCACGACTTTCCTGGTGACATAAAGATTGTTGAAATAATAAATGACAGATATGTCCTTTGAATGATAGATAAAAAAACTTTTTTCTCTGAAATTCTAATGTCTAAATATATTGAGCTGTGCATCGAAAGTTTAAGAAAATAAATATCCTTGTAAAAAATCTGACACTTTATTCTGGATAGATTGAAAGAGTATGTCTTTCTTATATTGTTTTGAATTATCTACTCTTCAGATTACCAATTACTCGCATATGATAATTCAAGAATAGGAAACGCAAATGCGAGAATATTAACAATAGAATAGGCAACATGTATAAACGGATAAAATTTCTCGAGGACACACCGTTGGTGTACGTTTATATATAATATGCGTGACTCAGGCCATAATGGCCCGGTTATTTTTATCATCAAAACTTAACTGTTATATGACATGACATTTGCACGCGAAAAGAATGACGACACATGTTCCTTGATACGATGATATAACAAAAATCCGATATAACCAGATCGTACAAATTTACAATGTATTTTAGTAAGAATAATAAGCATTCTGACTTCGGTGTTAAACAGCCGATATAAAACGCTTAAACCGATATTATTTCTTTATATGGAAGGTGTAACACATGATGAACAACTGGAATTTGTTAAAGTACGAGTATTAATTACAATTGATGCAGATGACACTTATTTTTTCTGGGTGACAGCAAATGATTTTCAAGTTGCTATTAAATTATACACAAATTGCTATAAGATTACACAGACGTTGGGATTAGAGTGAGTACATTAAAAACTAAATTTCTTGTATTTTTCAAAAAGGAAAACATACTTTTTAGATATAAAAACAAAAAGCCTTACTCTTTTGACAATACATAGGAGTGGTGGTGTTTTAAAAGCAAAGACTTATCCTGCAAACCAAACTGTTTAAGCAATGTATTGTTGGTTAAATAATGTAGAAAGTCTTCAATAACCTTTTGCAAGTCGATTTGTTTGACAAACCAATGTGAATGTCGACGGGACCAATTGCATTCTTGAACAAAAAAGCACCCTTAACATATGTTTGGTATTAGGTCTAGTACACCGGTCTGTACTGTATTTGGGGAATGGTGTGTTGAACTATTTTCTATTGATATATATTCTAAATGAAAGGTTTTTGGCCAAATATAGTTTTATCTTATGTTTTTTTTACAATTCTTTGTATCATATAGCCCTTAAAACTTTAAAACAAGTACACGTGTCAGTGTTTTTAGACAAATATTATATTGGATTAAGCATACTACGACTAAATTGTAAGATTTGTAAACCCAAATGTATGGTTCTATTTGGAATTTCCTAATCACAAAATAGGTATTTGCTAATACAATACAGGTTTGTTTCTGTAAAAAGAAGCATGCGAGAGGTCTTTTTGCAGCTGTGGAATATTTGTTTAATTAGAAAATATTTGGAGATATTTTTGCATAAAAGGCACAATGAATGTTTATAAATTACAATTATTTAACGAAATATAATTTATTATATATACTAAATATTGTATAGTATTATAATGTATAATGAAAGTTTATTTTACACTTCAATTTTTAATGTTTGTAAGATTATATGCCTTAGAAATGGACATGTTCTTTGCGCATCAGGAATATTTTTTCTACAAAGGTAACAATTTATGTTATGTTATCTAATTAATTTTAAAATAAATCATATATATTAAAAGTTGTATCAAAATAAAGTTTGATGTAAAATTCAATAATCAAATTTTCGATTAATGTTTTGGAAAGTATATGGAAACATTTCCTCTGCAACAGAGATTTTCCAAAACGGGCATAAAGTATAATAATCAAAACATTTTAAGTCCCAGGTTTACATAAAAAATGTATATAACATTGTAATAAAAAGTATATACAACTGCATGCCTCCAACGACAATATTTCAAGAAAAACAAACTTTAGAAAGTGTGTGCCATTTTCATGCAGCAAGGAGCAGCAAAATTTCGGTACACGGTTCACTCACTCATATAATAGTGCATGGTGATATTGTAGCTATATTATGTTCACTGTTACTGTTTTTCATGACATGAAATAGTAAAACGCTATTCAGAAAACTATTTGTTCAATTCGATGTTTATTTTTCGTTTACGTTACAATATTTACAATATGTAAAAACATGTGAACAGATACAATCATCAAAACAGAGACAGTTATAGTTGTAACACAGTTTGAAAACAAACAATATAATTGTGTCAAAATGCATTTTACATAACTAATTAGTTAAATATGAAGGGGAAGTGATGGAACTATATAGTAGTATCTTTAAATTATTTGTAATGTAAAGTAAGTGGAACGTTTGTTAAAAGTTTGGCTGCTAAGGAACAAATAGCATAAATTTTGTATTTCAGAATCAGGGGGTAAAAGAAACAATTTTAAGGTAGTCTCACTGCAATGCATTCCGACAAGAAATCTTCTAACATCGGCCAATATCGTAATAAATCGGTCATTTCCGGAAAGTTATTTTTCGCAATATTCTGCGTTCGTTGGTTTATGCGTGTATAGATCTACTAGTAAATAAAAAGAAAAAAAGGAGAATGGACAAGATATGGTCACCATGCAGTTATTTATAGATAAATGCATTATACACCCCATCATTAAATAAGTAGTACATGTCGGATCTATAATTAGACAGGTGTAGTGTTTTTTATTCATCCGGATAGCTTGTGATGTGTTTCTTGCTTGTATGTAAATTAAGTTCAGAACACGAAACATTAGACCCCTGTATTGAAACAGGATGTTGGACGAGTTTCACGATTTATTTGAATATACTAAAGTATCTGTACAAAAAACAAAGTTTATATATATTAAATTATGTTATGAATATGGATATTACTCACTTTGATACAAAAAGAATAATGTATTACCCTCTGCGACTGAGGGGATTATTTATGGGGTGTAGTATGATTTTATCCGTGGCGACTTTCTTTCGAATTTGTAGAAATACATTCGCAATTTAAGTATTATCATGGTAGTTTGTAATATAGATAGATATTTCAAGAGGTAAAATAAATAAAACACTTACCACTTATTAAACACATAGTTTTATTACTGCTACACGAAAATTTATTTTATTGATGTATATAAGTATCGACCGTTATCTTGAACTCCACCTCAAATATTTGGAAATAAGTCAGTACTCAATATTTAAGCAAAACTCAGATGGCACATTCATAACTCTGAGACACAAAGTGCGTTTATATATATATATATATATATATATATATATATATATATATATATATATATATATATATATATATATATATATATATAGCATATCAACGCACTTTGGGGTCAATTTCTCGATTTTGACATCAAAGTGCGTTTGGCCCCAAAGTGGGTTGTGCAGTTTTACCCGCTTCGGGGTTAGACCCAAAAGTGCGCTTGACCCCAAAGTGCGGTATTACAAACCTGGATTGTTTTGCAATGAACAAATAACTATTTCAAATATCGATACGAACAATATATTTTTTGTGTATCTTGTATTTTTTTTAAATATTTTCATAAAATGTTCTTTAAAAGCAATATTGATGATACAGTTCCAAGTGGTTTAGTATGGATTAGGTAATGTTATTCACAAGACAGCAACCTTGAAATTCTTACTTATCATTTTAACATAAATTAACAATTCGTAAACAGCAATATATTAAGAATAAAAATATTTTGATCATCTCTGTCCCTTTTTTATTAGATTTTCTGTTATATTTTACGTTTTGTATGACTTCGCAATTAAAATTTTCCCTATTTTGCGCTTATACATGTAACCACAATTTACTAATAACTCGTACCTGTCGTGTATTGTGATATTTATTTGTATTGTTGAATATTTTTACTGATGTTATCTTTTTTTTTTCTTTTCGTTTTCTGAATTAATGTAACGGCCAAACAGTGTAATTTGAGTTTTCACATAAAGACGTTAATTTTTCCAAACGGACGTTTTTAGAATTCTAAATTCAAATTAAAACCTATTAAAAATAGTCGTAATGAATACCTGTAACCTGAAACTATCTTTTGCATGTTTACACTCGCGTGACTGCGTCTCAGGTATGTCAGTTAAATAAACGATAAAGGAATAATCCCATCACCTGAATGAGCGGATGGATGTATGTATGTAGTCAGTCCATCCGCCAGGTAAGGCACAAAAAGCAGCTTTCGCTGTCGAGTACGGACCCCGGACATGTCACCAGTCATGTCCTTAAAAGTATAATTTTGAAGCACAAAGTGGTGATAATTTACCTGCATGCCATTTCCACAGAGTATTACACAAATATATGATTTTTGAGCCAAAAATAATTCACTGTACGGCGTTCTCTGAGAACCGCAATGTAAAGCAGCTTGAGACAATAACGAAAGGACGTAGCCCTTATAAGGGCTGTTGGTGCCAATCAAAGGGCCTGACTTACAAGCCGTCACTTGTACTAAGGGCTATCACACCCTTGTACCCAATTCTCGTCGATTCTGCCTACTATGAAGGGCCACTCCCCTCGGCTTTAGTCAGGATACCTGCAATTAACTTCATGCAAGCTAAGTCGTACTTAAATGCGCCACGCTTTGAAGGTCACTATTACATACCACAGTGATTGTGAATTAATGACAAAAAAGCAGGAACAAAATACTTTCGTATAATATTTCATTTCCCAAGATATAAAGGTGTTTTCAAATAGCACATTTAATTCTTCCTTCTCATGAGACTTATGAACTTATGTTTTTTGTGGGTAATTCTTCCATTTCACAAAGTGTTATTTATTCGCTCCGCTTCGTTTGAAGTAATTATTATTATTATTATTATTATTATTATTATACACCAAACTTCTTAAGCACTTTTTTCATGCACATTGACACGTTAAAAAGTACTGTACAATATAGCTAAATAAATGATACAATATTTAAAAGAAACAAAAATTAAAACATCAATATTGCTCAAGTCACAAATTCAAATCAAATGTAGTTAAAAAAAAAAAGTTCAAAAGACCCACATAAATAATAAAATTAAGAAGGTAAGAACCTAAAAAATAATCAGTCCAAATAAAGAGTTTTAAGTGCTCTCTTAAACACTGTAAGAGTTTCACAGCTTGGTCAATTTTCAATAATCTGGATTTGGTTATTCACTTTCATAAAATGTTTCTTTTATTTCTTCTTGTTGCATGTGTTTTAGAGACAGTAGACAGGTAAACATCCTTTAATGACAGCGCCTGTAAATTTTAAATACTTCACCAGAATACGGTTTGACATGAGTCCGTGTAACGACTAATTAGTCAATTTCCCCAATGTAATTTTGTGACCTTTTTTGAAGTCTTGCATTGCAAAATGTATGTAGATATTTCTTCCTGTTTACTTCTGTGACTTTGGCTGTGCTGTTCCAATAGTTTCTGGGACTATCCCTGAAAAAAGCTATCGTCCTTGTCCTCCAGGTAAAGACGCACCGTGTGTTTGCTTAAGAGGGGAAGGGGTAGAAGAGGCGGTGCTCGATGTAGACGTTTACATCAAAATAAAATAAAAAGACGATATCAGTAACAATACTTAACACTACAAATATTACCTCAATACAATTTGTCCGAATTAGTTGTTAATTGTGGATAAACGAAAGGGAGATTTAAATTTGCATTGTGAAATTAAACATAACGTAAAACATTTATTATTATGGAAAATATGTTGAGATATATAGAGACTGACAGGCATTCATTTTAAGTTTCATCTGAAAGGTTTGCAAGATTTGCTGATCGTGAAAGACTCTTACCTGTCTTGGTTAAAAAAATCGTTAGACATCGGACATTCCGGTAGCTGTATTTTGAAGGGATAGGTGGTAACTAACATTTCCCAATAGTATACTTATAGAACAAAACTGCAGATACCTGCAAATTATGTGATATTGTGTAGGATCTTTCGAATTTTATGTTGATATGTTAATGGCTAAAGTGTTCTAAACTCATATTCTAAACAGACCGCGTGACGTGGATCATTGTATTGTATAACGGAATATGTATAAAAAAAACTCCCTACACAGACTTCGAATAAATCAGTCATTTGCAAAAAATAAACAAAAATGGTCACTGCATCGAATCGATTACAAATTATTTATTTGAACAAAACAAATACGAATGTAAGTCCTAGTTTAATCACTACACACATATGAATATAACCAATGTTGCGAAAAATACCTGCACCGGTCTTCATGAATCTTTGAATAAAGAAGGTTTACCTAGATTTTTAATTTGCTTTTTTTCGCTATAAAAATTAAAAATATCGACAATGAAACAATATGAAGATTAAAAAAACACAACGATTAGAATCGCAGACACAGTTTTTTATTCAACCAAAGATTATTTATTCCGTTCTTGTGTACTAAATAATGATTTTTATCTTGCACCTAGTAACGAAACATTACGACGATACGACTAGGATTGGGATAATAACTGGTTAATTTTTAAGCCTAAACAAACACACATCTTAAGATACAGTGTCCCTTTTGGTCTAATGTTACGCTCCCTTCGCAGCTCACTGAATACACTAACGTTGTTTTTTTTTCAGAGAAGCGATAGTTAAACATTCGATCGATGACGTTCGATGCGAATGAGAGTATTCATAAATAAAATACCAAACACGAATGGGAGAGGTCGAGGAAATCGCCATTGTAGGAGTCGGGTGTAGATTTCCTGGCGCTGATAATATAAAAGAGTACTGGGATGTTTTGAAAAATGGAGAAAATCATGTGAAGGAAGTACCACGAGATAGATGGAACATTGACGTATTCTATGACCCTGACCGAAACAAAACTGGAAAAACTTACGTTCGCACTGCAGGGTTCATTAAAAGGTAATAAAATAATTAATGCCATAATTATATATCTTTTCTCGCTTAAAGTCCTATTAGGAAAAATCAAAGGTAGTGGGAGTAGATAAATTTTCACTAGATGACTACTGATGCATTACATTTGAAGCAGTTCCATATGTCATATGTACGATATGATGAAATAAATGCAAATTGTGATATATGGAATGCTTATCTATGACTGAACTGTCTAGAAAACTCGTTAATGAGGAAATGTCAGATAAGATGTTATGTAATGTGATCAAATTTGATTACTGTTAGAAATGATATTTACTTCTATGTTACACATTACCGTATGTTGTACAGTGTTAATTTCAAACTACTTATATTACTTCACATTGGGCAAGATTCCTATCACAGACATTGAATTACGAGTACACATTGTTTTGGTAGCTTACAGAATGTTAACGCGTTTAGTCAATCCATGTTAAATGCACAGATGGATAATTACCTTGTAGTTTTCCACTACAAGTAAAAAGGAATGTCACCATATGACTATAACAAATAACTGTTTCGGTGTTACATAATAATAACCAACTCAAAATAGGCAAACAAAGTAGTTACAAATGATAAATTAATTTCAAAAATGTCTGCTCTATTTTATATGAAGTATTGACGAATGGGACCATCGTTGTTATGGTATTAATGATATGGAAGCAGAGCTTGTTGACCCCCAACAAAGGATTGTGTTGGATTGTGTTCATATGGCATTGGAGGATGGCGGCATAACAAGACAAGATATTGATGGAACACAAACTGGTGTTTATATAGGTAAAATACTTGCTTAAAAAACTAGGGGGCGTGAGGGATGTTGCACTTATTCATTATCTCTCATGTACAGACTCAATCAAACCGAGTCTGCAATTCTTATGTAATTTTGTTGTGATTAATGCTTCCGAGGGATCACTTTGTTTCAAGAATTTTGTACTTCACAACAGCAGGTGTTAAGTGCTGTGTGGCAGCTATAAAAAGTTGCCCCGTACTTCACTTCATTGTTGTTATATTTTCTGGTCCTTCGGGATCATTGATGCCAGCACTATTAAGTGTTGAGAATTGAGTACCGCTCAAGCCGGTGCTAGGGGGCGTGAGGGATGTTGCACTTATTCATCATCTCTCATGTACAGACTCAATCAAACCGAGTTTGCAATTCTTATGTAATTTTGTTGTGATTAATGCTTCCGAGGGATCACTTTGTTTCCAGAATTTTTGTACTTCACAACAGCAGGTGTTAAGTGCCGTGTGGCAGCTGTAAAAAGTTGCCCCGTACTTCACTTCAGTGGTGTTATATTTTTCTGGTCTTTCGGGATCATTGATGCCAGTTCTATAAAGTGTTGAGAATTGAGTACCGCTAAAGCCGGTGGTAGGCATGAGGGATGTTGCACTTATTCATCATCTCTCATGTACAGATTCAATCAAACCAAGTCTGCAATTTTTACGTAATATTGTTGTGATTAATGCTTCCGAGGGATCACTTTGTTTCCAGAATTTTGTACGTCACAACAGCAGGTGTTAAGTGCCGTGTGGCAGCTGTAATAAAGTTGCCCCGTACTTCACTTCAGTGTTGTTATATTTTTCTGGTCCTTCAGGATCATTGAAGCCAGCACTATTAAGTGTTGAGAATTGAGTACCGCTCAAGCCGGTGCTAGGGGGCGTGAGGGATATTGCACTTATTCATTATCTCTCATGTACAGACTCAATCAAACCGAGTCAGCAATTCTTATGTTATTTTGTTGTGATTAATGCTTCCGAAGGATCACTTTGTTTCCAGATTTTTTTTACTGTCGTTTTACTGTGTTACGCGCATGGAAATAGAGTTGCGCACGTATGTCCGAATATCTAAGATCATGCATCCATATAGAACATTTACATTATTTAGACCTTATTGTTTAATAATAATGATAATAATAATAATGAATGTGTTTTTTACTGTTAAGAATGTAATAAATATTATGTATGGGTAAGAGTTTGTAAGGGAGTCTTATCAAACTCTTACCCATATAACTGCAAATCGGCGCATACAACTTGATATCAGATAAAAATATAGAAAGTGTCAATTCTTTAATTAAGCATAACATTGTTTTTCCCGAGCAGCCACGTACAAACAAGGATGGGGTCCAATTACTTACTCTGGCAAGTAAAACAATGAGTTTTCAACAATACCTAGGATTGTTAATGCAATTCATTCCTGTCATATGAAACACAATAATGTGTTGCTTACTTTTTCTAGAAAATATAAACAGTCAGCAATTCATAATTGACATTTTCTTAGAGTTAAAAGGATATCAAAAAGTTAATGTGTACTCATTTGTCTCTGCGAGCTGAGCTCCACGTGTATTATCTATGTAATAAATGGAATGTATCCTCACATTGCTACAGTGTTATCAGCCTTTTTAGAAACACCTGACCTGGCTAATTAAAATATGCCAATCACAATTTTCACTATCAGCACTGGTTTCTTCATGAAAAAAGCGGTTACACTAATTACTGCCGAGTAAGAGCCGATTTGAGTTATATATCGGAATAGCTTAATGCCGTCCCCTGGTACATTTCACATATTCGCCTGAACTTACTGTATTTTGTGATACTAATGAATATACTTTATAACGAAAAACAATTTATGATTTTGTTTGTGTTCTAAGGGTCAATGACTGATGACTACAAAGGTTTTGTGATGGATGACAGTTCAAAAAGCAGTACATACTCCGTAACAGGTACTCAAAACAGCGTTATTAGTGCCAGGGTGTCATACACGTATAATCTGTTAGGTCCTTCCATAACTTTAGACACTGCTTGTTCGTCGTCATTAGTCGCCATAGATGTTGCTTCACAGGCTTTGATTACAGGTATGTAGAAAGGTTTGTGTATTTCGTTGTCCGTAATCGCATTGGTTCATCAACATTCCTTTGTCAGTAAACTCTTATTTCATTTCATAATCCCTTTTATTTTCATTGTACAAGTTAAATCAAAACGTCTTGTGGCATGGAATACTTTAATGTTTTACTAGATTATACGTCTTTATATGATATTTTCATAATGCGACAATATTATAAGGATATGTGCGTTTTTTGCAATTCCTTTCTTCAAGTTGACCCTTTTTCAATAAAAGCACAAAAGCTAACACCCTGATTATAGAAAAGCATATTAACATACATGCCATTTATAAACAGGAAAATGTAGCATGGCTATATGCGGAGGGGTAAATATACTCATGGACCCACAATTATTCGTTGCTCTCTCTAAAGCTGGGATGCTTTCACCGACCGGTCAGTGCCAAACATTTACGAAAGATGCTGATGGCTATGCCCGTGGAGAAGGTTGTGGAATAGTGATTCTTAAAACATTGAAAAATGTAAGCAAATTTTATGTCTTTAACTATTTAAGAAGCTAACTGTATTTGTGCACTTTTATTTTACGTTAAGTCTTTCAATGCAATAAATGTACACTAATGTGCTTACTAAAGCCAGAAGATTGCATTTATCACTAGGTTCGATCTAACCGAGTCTGAAACATTTTCAATTTTGCCGTTTTTATGGTTTGTATCTTATCTATTTCTCACTTCGTCGTGACATTTTTGATTTGCATGAATTTCAAAAAGTGCAACTCTATTTAGTCTTAATATTTATTCGCAATACAAGTTGCTGTAATTTCATCTGTTTATTGATACATGTATTTTAAATGATCAGTCAAATATTATAAATTGCTGTAACAGTTACGTTAAAGAATAAAAAATTCTTAAATTACATATAAACTCGAAATGGAACTATAAAATGTAATCAATATTAATATAAATTTCGTCTAATTTTACTTATATACTGGGTGTGACTTAAAAAAAAATATCAAAAATATTTCTAGTTATATATGTATGAATCGAAAGATATCTAGATATATCTATATATACAATCTGATGGTAGGCTATTACTGATGGTAATAAGATATGGGGTACATTAAGGACTGAGACGAATCAAGATGGGCACATGGCCTCGCCCATTACAGCACCATCTGGACTTCAACAGGAGAAGCTGATCAAGAAAATCTTTGAAAGATATGGTATTGCCAAAGATAGGATAAGTGTCATTGAAGCTCATGGTAAGTTTATTTAAGTTGCTCAACTCATGTTTCCGATAATTCTAGGGAAAAACAGTGTAGTCAAAGTAGTAAAGGGAAGACGAGAAGTGGTCAATCGGAAGGGATTAAAAAGCCCCGGTCTCTGACCGTAGAAAAGACATCATTGTTCGCATGAAATTAACGGTTTCAGTAATCTATAGTCGCGGGAGCTTTAGGTTATGAGAACGAAAATTACTGCTAAAGATAATTAACCGTTTGCTTGTGGTGCTTTTAAATTTGAAAGACAGATATAATTGAATTTAAATTGTACAAATGTAATTAAGTCACATTTACGTCGTAATTAATTGCAATGTTTTATAACTTACAAACGAACTTAAATCTGGTCACAGAAGTTGAAATGCGGATGTCTAGTCAAAGTCTTTATTGAACGTATTTCATTTTAGGCGTTGGTTCTTAATGGCTATTATTCATCGTATTTGCGTATTAAATAACTACATAAAACGGCAAAAATATCCAAAATAATATGGTTTTGCCTTTGAAAGATGCGTTTGCAGATATGCGATAATAAGAATACAAATGTACAACTAAAACAAATATCATATCGAGAATATCCTTCTCTCGTGTTCTATACGCCCGAATATTGTAATGCACCTGGCTAACCGTCCATTTGTTCTTTCTGTCCGCAATGTACCATTGGAAACAAATTGAAGCTTTTCGGCAAAAATGTTAACTTTAGTGATACGCTGTGCACAGCATATCTTTGACCTTTCTCAGAGCAGGCAAGGTCACAGTCATTATCTATAAATTTCAAAATTTCTGTATCTTTGAAACCGATAGAAGGAACTAAAAAATATTTGGCAGAAATATTAATATTACTAAGAAAATATGAAAAGTACAGGTTTTGTCTTTCTCCAGTCAAGGCCAGGGTCACACTGGCTCATTCAATATATCAGTTTATACAAAGGGACACTATAGTGTATGTATTAATTCATTAATATGTTACACTCCCTGTGTGTTAATAGGTAACCTCCCTTTATTTCCCAACACTTTTACTGGTTTTGTAACGAATTTTATACTGTTCGACTTGTTCTGTTTAGATTACAATTGTAATGGAGATTTAGGATGTTGCTTCTGTTATTCCCAGTTGTGGGCAGTCTTGACTAATCTTGGTTGATGAGCTGAGTAGAAGTTGCTGTATTTGTTTTATGATACATGACCAATATAACTTGCAGAAAGTTATTTCATGACTACCACGGCTTTTTTAAATGGTTGGATTTAAAGATCCTTTAAAGCCTTAAAGGGATACAAGAAGATATCTTTAAACTCAACCAATAAAAATGCACAAAGAAAAATTGTTTTTATTTATTTTTTGCATTATATGGCATTAATTTATTTATAATGATAAGATAAAATGTTTCATTCAATAATTTTTCAATCAATTATTTAATCAAAGTTTTCTGAAGTATAGCTGTTTCTTTTTATTTCTTTCAAGGAACCGGTACCGCGATAGGAGACCCTACAGAAGTCAATGCACTTGGAACACAATTTGGAAAAAGTGCAAATGCTAAAAATGAAGTATTCATTGCTTCTGTTAAGACAAATATAGGTCATCTAGAGGCAGCTGCTGGTGTTGCAGGACTTATCAAAGTTCTTTTAATGATGAAATATGATATGATTGTACCGTCATTATGGTATACTAAGGAAAACGAAAATCCTTTGATTAGGTTATCACAGCATGGATTTGTTGTACCTACAAAATGCACAAATTGGAAAAGGGTAGGTAATGAAAACCGTTTAGCTTGTGTAAATAGTTTTGGTTTTGGTGGCACAAATGCTCATTGCATCGTTGAAGAATATATACAAAAATCCAAACAGGTACATAATATTGAGTCGTGTTTACCTTTCGTCATTGCCATAACAGCATATAGCAAAGAAAGCCTCTTTACAAATGTACAGCATTTGTACGATGCATTGAAACAGCAGACCTATGACATAAGTGCTGTATCTTACACATCAACATACAAGCGTGAGCATAGGCCATACAGGAAAGCAATCTTCGGAAACAGTCAAGATGGTATTATTTCAGCTGCTGGTTCCTTTCTTACCGAAAGTGGAAAGGTTTTCCCATCAAAAGATGCAACAAAAGTTGTGTTCGTTTTCTGTGGTGTTGGGACAGCATGGAAAGGAATGTGCAGCTCACTGATGAACTTAAAAGTATTTAAGGACACACTCTGTAGTATCGATAAACATCTAAAACCACTATCAGGCTGGAATATTTCAAGCAAACTCATTGACAGTTACGATATATTGACTTATCCGATGATCTCACATATTGCCATTTTTGCTTGTCAGATTGGCCTTGCTTCATTATGGAAAGAATTGGGAATTGTTCCTGATGTGGTTGTTGGGCAATCGGTTGGAGAGGTTGCGGCTGCTTATATTGCTGGATATTTTGATCTTCAAACAGCAGTTCAAATCATATTCTACCGATCGAAGCTCCTTGCAGCAGTAACAACTGGTACCATGGCAGTAATTCGCAATGTTGAAGTTGATGTCGTCGAAAAGTACTGTAAAACACTCGGATCAGTAACTGTTGCAGTTTACAATAGCCAAGATTCGTGCACGGTGTCTGGAATGGCTGAAGATATTCAAACTTTAAAGCACAATCTTTCAACATCAGAATGCATAAAACCGCAATTTATCGATTTAAACGTGCAATGTGCATACCATAGTAAATATGTCGATCAAGCAGCGAAAGATCTAGAAAAGCATTTACACAACAATCAGTACCGCAAAGCACATACACCAATGCTTTCTACTGTTACTGGAAAACTGGAGACGAACGGTTTGTTTGCGACACCAAACTATTGGGGAAAAAATGTTAAAATGCCGGTTTTATTCTCAGATGCTATAAAAGCCGTAGAATCAAAAACAGATCACAATATATTTCTTGAGATCGGACCCAGCCCAGTGCTGCGAGCGCATATTGAAAAAATAGTTGTTGAAAGAAACAACTATACATTAATTCCGTCAATGCAGAAGAATGATGAGACAAAGACATTTACAGAAGCACTGTGTACACTGTTCGAGCTTGGACTAACCCTAAAGTGGACAAATATATATCCATATAGAAGTCATGTTACTGATATACCTACGTATCAGTTCCGTAAATTCCACACACTCTACCAAAGCCCAACTGCAGTCAAGAAAAATCAAGGAATAGACACAACTGATGTTGAACATTTGTATGTAAAACAACTTCCACAGAAAGAAGAGAGTTTTCATTTTAATGTCGAAATAAGTGAGAGCACTACACCATTTGTATTTCAACACATTGTAACTGGCTTAGTAATACTTCCCGGGGCAGTTTATGCTGATGTTGGCTTTGAAATTGGAAGTAATGTCTACGGTCTTTCAAAACAGAATGTTTTAGTGTCGTTAGAATTTTTGAGACCTGTAAGAATAGAACCTGGGACAAAGACCATTCTCCATGTTTCCACAGTTGCTCAAAGAAATGAATTACTATTCCATGCAAAATATAATCATGTTACAATGTGCAAAGGCTGGATAAAATCAGCAGAAGGGCCTTGTGAATCTCAGAAAACGTTTGATATTGAATGTATGAAACTTTCAATTTCTAGTTGTGGATGCAAGCACATGTCTGAATATGATATGTACGAAAATTTGGAGTCAATGGGATTTAAATACGGTAATTATTTTACTGTAATGAAATCATGCATTACAAATGGTATTGAAAGTTTAACAGAAGTAGAGATTCCAGACGAAATAGTGTGTCAGTATGAAATGACAACACTGCATCCGTGTGTACTAGATGGAATGATGCAATCAACCATAAACACAACACCGGAGGAGATTCTGGTCAAGATAAGGAATGAAAAGCTCACCTTTATGCCCGTCGCTATTGGTGAACTCCGTTTGTTTGGAAAACCAGAAAAGAAAATGTACGTTTTCACAAGGAGATTCAACACGACCGTTTTAGATTCCGTACTACAGGTCCATTACAATATACTCTTACTCAGTAAGAATGGAGCGGTTTTAGCAGACCTTCGGAACTATACTACATACGGAAAGAGAAACGCATCAATTGCACCTCGTGAACTAAGCTACCGGTTGACATGGCATCCATTTGAAAATAAAATTCAGCAGAAAAACCAACCCACCAACGTTCTGGTTCTAACAAATACGCCTTCGAAACATGTGTGTCTAGAGTTTGACGAATTTAAAAATGTTCTCGTTTATCAAAATGATCAAGATGTGTCGAACGAAGAATTCATTTCAAATGCAATTCATCAAGATGGTATCTCTCGGGAGATTCATGCCGTTGTTTTGCTTGTCGAGAAACATGGTCAAAATTCTAATATAAACGCATTGTCAGCCCCACACATCCACGAGCGTGTGCGAAACAACTGCATGCTTCTAACTGCAATTGTGAAGTTTATGACTAACGAAAATATCGCTGTACCACTATATGTTGTTACGCAAAATACACAGCCAACTTTTTCAAATGAATCGTCTAAGATAAATATTGTCGGAGAAGAACTTTGGGGATTCACTCGGTCTATACATCTCGAATTCATACATGGTGATATAACATTGATAGACCTTCAACCCTCCATACAAGAAACAAAACACACTTTAGTTTCTTTTGTTAACGATACATGCAACAATATGAATCATACGAAGCCAGAAATCATTATAAACTATGATAAAATATATGGGGCACAATTTACAAAGGTTCCGAGGAAAGAAATCATTCCAACACTAAGGTTGGAAAACACCATTTCAAGAAAAATTCATTCTTCTCATAAGGTTTTAGCAGATCGTTCAAAACGAATAGAGTCATTGGTTATAACAAAGTCGAAAGAAAATGAAGACATTTCTAAAAAACATCACATTTCCGTACTGATAAAAAGCGTTTGTTTACATCCAGTTTCAATTTACCCAAGAACAACAAGTGGGATCAACCTTGATCAAGATATATGGAAAGAATGTTTAGATGATGGCCATCATTTATATGGCCTTGAATACACAGGTATTCCTTTATCAGGCATTGTAAATGGGAGAACATCAAGCAAGAGGCCGGAAGTTAATGCTTTTGAACAGAAAGACTGTTTCAATAAATGGGAAATTTTAACAATATTTCCTTCGGAAATTTCAACAAAGATGTCAGTACCCGAAACTTGTACTGTACAAATGAAGGACATCCCATTCTATCAACCTGGTCTTGTTTTGACAACTGTTTTAAGTTGGAATCTTACAAAAGATATTCCAAGTCGAGCAACTGTTGTTGTGTACAGCTGTCAGGAGTCTTCAATGTCCAAACTTATATTAGAAACTTTATTACAGACTCAGAACAATGCCATTCTTGTTGATTTGTTAAACTATCAAGATAACAATAAAGGCAATATTGACGTCTTGGTAACACTTGAAAAACTTGATTTAACTTTGCCTGTACTGGGAAGATGTAAAAAGATAATATGTCTTCAGGGCTGCGTTTCAGAACTTGTGCGTCTAAAAGCTTCGAGGTCTGGCAAACAAACTATTGCAACCTTCACTGCTTTAGAATTGATAGAAAAGAACGTTGTTTCTAAATGTCTTCCTAAAATCATTTGCTGGCTGCAAAGGAATTATAAAAGATTAGTAATTTCGGAGCATAGTTGCTCGGCAGACGATTACTGCAACGTACCCTTCCCTTCACTTGAAATTATAAACGATAGCAATGCCATATTGCCTATCAGAAATCCTATTGATTGTTTGTTTAGTAAATCTGCAATATATATTGTAACGGGAGGTATGACAGGTCTAGGATGGGAGATTATCCGCCTGCTAGCTGAAATGGGAGCTGGTTTTATAGGATCTATTTCAAGACGCGATCATTCAGCAGACAAAGCAGATGATATTGATAAAGTCGAGAAAGCAACTGGGTGCAAAATAATTCAGGTTAAAGGTGATGTTTCTGACTTAAAGTCCATTTCTAGAGCAATTAAAGAACTTGAATCATATGCCAAAAATGGATCCATTCGAGGTGTCTTTCATGGAGCAGGTGTCTTAAATAGTAAACTTCTGATGAATTTAGAAGAGTCACAACTTGACTTTGTACTAAGACCTAAAGTGATTGGAACAATGAATATGCATATAGTCACAAAGGATATGGATCTCGATTATTTTGTTGTTGCGTCTTCAATAAACAGTTTGATCGGATCACCTGGTCAGAGTAGCTATGGTGCCGCCAACTCATTCCTTGATACATTTATGGAATGGAGACGACAACATGGACTGCCAGGGCAAGCAATCAATTGGGGAGCATTGTGCGTTGGAATGGCATCTAGACCCGAATTTGTAGAAAGTTTTACAAAGCGAGGATTCAATCTTCTATCCATCCTTGAAATCAGAAGTTGTTTTCAAGATGCTTTAATGCGAAATACAAGTAGTATTATATATACGGATATTAACTGGGATATATGTGCGAAGGATTATACAAACCCAAAGTTGGAGAGAACGAGATTACAAATGACAGTTTTGATAGAGGAAGCTGTGTCACACAGCATGCACTTTGACAATGATGGAATAGAGGCTATGTCTTTCGACATAAATGCATTACGAAATGTTGGGACAGAGAGACAACTCGTAGCTTTTACGCAAGTTATTCTGAAGGTTTCAAGGAAAGTGATTGGGGGTGACTTAAGCCAAATTAGGATATCATCTACATTAGCAGAAATGGCATTTGACTCCATGTCAACTGTCACTTTTATCAACATTGTGCATGATATTACTGGGTTTCGCATTCCACCGGCATTCATGCTTAACATGAATAACTCTCTAAATAGCGTTGTGCAATTGCTATTTCAAGAAATATTTGCTGACAAAGCATGCCATAGCGAGTCTATTGAACATGAAAGTAATAAAACAAACAAATTACATGAAATAGAACCAAGCAAAGATGGCAACATGACGCCTATTGAAACCTAAATTTCCAATATTCTATTCAACATTCTGCTTGAAAGCGCATACATTGATTAAAAGAGAGGGGTCATTGACCCCTATTTCTACCGTGAAAGTTTTATGTGAATTTGGATTTATACATATATGATTTGCGTTCATCATTCAACTTTTTCCTGATTGTTGTATGTGTCTTTATTGTTTATCAAAAGCTACTCGTCATCCTTTCTTTTTGAATAACAGCTTATATATAAAATATATTATCATTTTATTCACGGCTTATATTACGTATTGAAACTGTGTGTCTACAAAAATAGAATGTATTAAGTTTTTGCAAAAGCTATTGTTTTGTGTAAATATTTGGTGATATGTTTCAAATGAAAGATACTCTTTAACATTATTACTTCTTCTTCTTCTATAATTTGTTATTTGTGATCATGTTTAAAAATTGATTTGTTTAGATGGCATTTATAGGTGGAGAAACGATGGCCATCTAAATTTTGTTGTTTTTGTTTTGAGTAAGGGAAGTAACCAATATTTTACATGTAAACGTGTAGAATACATCCATTCAATTTTTTTAATTCATTTTATTCCTTCATTTGTATTCATATTGTTTAAAGGTAGAGATGATAGATCGCATAAACCTGAAGCAACCCCTTATAATGCAAGAAAATTTAATGATAATAACTCGAAATTAGAAGATGAGTTTCGTGTATTATTTGAATGTACCAAATTGAATGATTTTGAAAACAACTTGAATAGTGTTGGCAAAAAAGATTTATTGGATTGTTAATACCACAAAATATGAAAATTATCAATGTTCATCTTTTAAATGTTTAAAGTAGAATTGGTGGCTCATAATTTACATTCGGTATTTAGATGAAATGGTATTTAATTGTGACCATTTGTAAAACTTGTGCCTCATTGTTGTACTATTGTTATTTTTGTTGTTTTTAACCGAACTTTGATGTCAATTACATTTTAGAAATATAACATATGCACAATGAATTGACTAAGTGTTTCTGCATTTATGTGTATGATATTGTTTACTCATAGACATGTTGACTACACGTATTTCGTAAATAAAATAAACAAACAAAACATCCATTATGCTTCTGATATTACGTCTTATAAAATGGGAAAACTGTTCTAGTCGACGACATTAACATTATTAATGAGCCGCGTCATGACAAAACCAACATAGTGCGTTTGCGACCAGCATGGATCCAGACCAGCCTGCGCATCAGTACTTATATAAACACTTATGTACTATGAACACATAGATGGTTGACCTCCATATACATATGCGGTTACATTTAGGACATTTGCTGTCTTTTATTTTTTATGATTATTTTTAAAAAATGAATTTTTAAACAATGAAGTTGTCCCATACCATACATGTTTTGAATTGTAAATTATATAATATATGCAAATAATGTTATTATGTATTATAGATTTAATGTAACCATGTGTTAAAGCATTTAACTGTGATATTTTCATCATATTTAAGTTTGTTACTTAAATAATGTTTATTTCCATCATATTTTAAGCCTCTTGTTATTTTTTGTACACCATTTTTTTTTTGTAGTTTTTGTTGTTTTGTTTAATCAATTGTTAAAGAGATATCATAAAATTATATTCTGGTATACTTTTAACATTGGATAACAAAAAGAAGAATGTTACAGATGCCAATGTTTTCCTAACGGCTATAAATATATCTTCTTTGTAATAAAATCAAATTATGCCTAGAAATTTTATCATTCTCGAATATTTGCTGTAATAAAGTGAAATTTAATTATTCGCCTTGTTTTATCATTTCGTTATTTATATCAAAGATGTATTGTTAAGTAATAAAATTTTATGGTGAACCTTAATGGCACATTATGCCACAGATATAAATAAACATTTTCCATCTTTAGAAAGGGAAAGCATGAGTTTTATAACATTTAGACAATGGTCTTAGATGGTGTCATAGTTGCTCATCACCTGAAGAAAGTAGCAATGAAAGTGAAATCATTGGTCATAAAAGTAGCAAAATGTAAACATAGTAGTTTTTTGACTTCCATACAAAATACTAAATCACTGTAACTGTTCTAATTGAGAAAAAAGAACAGATGTAAAAGATGATTTATGTAACTGGCCAATGAGCAAGTGTTTAGAAACTGGAACAGAACACCAAAAATTAAAGCTCCTATATAGCTGTGAAATAAAAGTAAAAGCATTTAATGGGCATAATAGGCCTTTAAAGCTCACATTGTTCTTGACACCAACAATATTATTTATCAATTTCATATTAATTTATAATTTTGATTACAACCATAATATAGATTTATCTACTGCTTGAATGGACATGATATGAACATAAAAGTTAAAACAAACTTTCAGTTATCTTGATCCTTTTCGGTAGTAAACATAACAACAAAAACATGAATTTTGAAAGTCCATATGTTATTTGAGCCGTGCCATGAAAACCCAACATAGTGTATTTGCGACCAGCACGGATCCAGACAAGCCTGCGCATCCGTGCAGTCTGATCAGGATCCATGCTGTTCGCTTACAAACCCTATTACAAGTAGAGAAACTGATAGCGAACAGCATGAATCCTGATCAGACTGCGCAGGCTGATCTGGATCCATGTTGGTCGCAAGCGCACTATGTTGGTTTTGTCATGACACGGCACATTTGTACTCGTATTAAGCCTAGTGAATACATGTTGTTAATTGTCTTGGAAAACTATTCATGACTTGCCTGGTTTATTAAACATGTGTTAAACATAAAAAGTTTCCATAAAGAAAAATGTCATTAATATGCAGCACCAAAGATGTTATCACGAATGGCCACCAGATATTTTATTTCTTTACTACAAATGATAAATTGTGAAATATCTTTATGTTTAAATATAAAAATTTGAAAATAACAACCTTAATGAAATCCATATACAATTTTAATAAATTAATAAATGCCATATTTCTTGCAAGATGAAACGATAAATTTTTATTACTGCCCTTGAAATACATATGTATACGTTATTCTCTGCGCAATGGTAGATTTATTCTTTTACACCTTCTGGCGAAAGGACTGTCATTATCAACTGAACAAATGGATGCATGCACATACTGATCAATTCAATTCTACCCTATGTATTGTGTAACGAATGTGCTCGAACGTTCTATTAAAATGCCATATCTTGAGGGGGAAAGAATCCATCAGTTACGCTAAGATATTCCTTACATTACGTATTTTACAAATGCTAGATAACTGAATGAAAAAATTACAAGATGAGATTGTTATTATGGTTTGTGTTCCATTTGTTGTTTGCGAAAAGTTGTGTTTGCAGACATTTTGAAAGCTCGTGGTAATACAAACTTTACAACAAACAAATTGAAAACAATCAGAACAGCACAGTCAGTGAGAACTCCCTGATATGCACCGAATCTCAAAGTTGCAAATTAGGCGATGGTGAATTAAATGGTGAGCACTGCAACCTTATTACATTGTACTAATCTATGGAACTCCTAGCATTCATAGAACAAAACAATAACAAAACTAAAAATGGTAGCTTTACGAAAATAAAGGATTAAAAGATGTTAATAGTTAAACAAGTATGCATCAATTTATCAATGAAACCTGACTGTATCAAAATATACTCAACACATAGTTTTGTTAAAAGACAGTAAAGGATAACATACAACTTGGACAAAGACGAAATCACCACTTTACTAACATAAGTATTGCGTTTCAGTTTGAGTTTTGAGTCATTTGAGTTTCGATTTTCGAAGAAAAGGCGAAGCTTTTGTCAGCCTTACTGGGTTGGTTAACCTTCCGGTTAAGTTTTCGTTTATGGTCTTTAACTTCAATGTTAACATAGCCGTAACATTGAAACTTTATTTGTAGATGCACCTTGATGATTTCTACCCGCAACAAACCATTTAAAGGTCTAAAGATCAATAGGCAAGATCACTGGAACCTATAATAACGAAAATAAAGAAATATAAAACTTGCCATTAAGGTGACAACGGAGTCAATTATCACTGAAAATACCTAAAATGAGATTTTTTGCTAAGTAGATTTATCAACCTTTTCTGAACACATTCGTGATTTAATTTTGGAAGCAGTTAGTCCAAAAAATGTGTTTTTAAACTATTTTAAACGGTACCTATACTATTTGTATCTGCTATTCGCGTAACCTGTCGATTATCGATAACGCTCCGCCCCCTGTTGAGGCATCAATGAGGGAAATCGGTAGTTCCATATATCCGTGAATTACAGGTCCATACTGGTCCATACTTCTCGTAATACATGTATCGTTCATCTACCGTACATCTTTTATGAATATCTCAACATTTAGCCTTTTTTATAAATTAAGAAATTGTCGGCCAATGTACGTAACATAATGTATGAAACATAAATAATTAAGCATAGCGGCAAATCGCACGACCACGGGGTTGATTAAAAATGTAGTTGCTAAAATATCCATAATGTGTGAAAATAATTGGTCTATCCCGTTAATCTGATATATATATAACATTGAGTTGATAGACTTTTGTACGGATTCAAGGGCTTACTTTACATTCAACCTCGTTTTCTTACAATGTCAAGTAAAACAACAACAGGCGACATTTTTTATGTGAACGCTTATATGACTTGTGGTAAGGTGTCCCTGACAAATTTCTAAACCATTTTAGATTGTCTAAGGATGATTATTTCTCTATGAATAAAAAAAGATATTAAAATATATTCTCAGTGAAAATAAATTGTTCGCCAGTAAATCCGACACAGTACTAATAAATCTGGGACAAAGTATGAAATTTATTGTCTATCCCGGTAGAAACTGGATCTCTATGCCGTGCATAGATGATATTCATGATAATAGAAGTCAAGAAGGCCACATCATAATGATCGAGTAATGCCTTTTATTTCTATTAAAATATGTGAAGCATTATCAATTTGGTGGAAAAAATATATACTATCCCGTTCTTATTTGTACATCTACCATGGACTTTAAAAGACTGTCAGAAGCTCAGTTTTTTGTTATTTTATTTTATATTTTAACGGAATTTCATACACGAATACACAGGCAGAGTGACACTGGTATAATACAATAATAATGCTGATGATAATAATAATAAACTTCAAATAGGAAACAATTAAATACCCCGCTAGCGGTGCGCAAATGCGTTCCATTTGCCCCCACTGAGTGCCTCAAATTTTACCGATAGTCACGTGACATGTGCGACAGATACCAGACGAACAGTAAATCACGTTAAGAATTGAAGAAATTTCGGCTATAAACTGATATTAATCAGCAGCTTTTTAATTGGTCAGATGTCACTGGGTCATAAAATGTTGTTAGAGTATGTTACCGCAACTTGTGACCCTCTCTGGTGCGATATTTGTGTATTATGCAATTATTTAGCGTGAAACGTAGGGGTCCGAGAGAGAACAGCCGATTTATGACACTTCGTTTGATGCGGGTCGGACTAACTTTGAATCGGCATAACTTTTTTAATAATCAAGCAATTAACATGCGGTTTAAAGCACATGAAAGGAAATTCATTTACGGAGGGAACCGTGTCAGGGATTTTTGTTTGCTCAATCAGCGACTTAATTATCTTTAATAACGTAATATGTATGGTGAAAAAAGTCGCATAAAATGTTTGACGTTACGTAATATTTTTTGAGAAAAGATATAAAAAATTTGAGACACCGTTCCCCAGATAATATTAGTATGGTTATTTTCCAATAGTTTGATGACAAAAAAATAAAAAATGACTTTGATATGACGATTTAAAATTTTAGGATTTTTATTCAAAATCAATCATTTACAAAGGCATTATTTTCAAATATGTTATTTTTTATGATGATCAACGACATTTAATGCACAAAGATTAAATGAATAACAATTATTACTTAAATAAGTTGGTTTAAATGACATTTATGTGAGTACCACGGAAAGTGTCTGTTGTCACCTTAATTGAAAGCGCTTGGGAATTTCAAACTTTCTGTTTGGAAACACATTAAAGTGCTATCTGCCACTTTAAATATGAGGTCAAAAGGTCATTCTATATCTTGCTATTGCAATTCTGGATGTTTCCATGATTATAAATATATTAACCTCCAAAACCTTCAACTAATGTTTGAAATGTTATAAGAGCAAATCTACGCAGTCAATATATATGGTTTTACGAGTTTCCATGTTGCTTTCAAAAATAATTGCAAAAGCTTAAATGTCAATTATTACCTACCCTATCAAAGGTGCATTACACCTTAACATGCGTGTCAATGTCACTGTGACCTGTGATGAAAATAAAATTGGTCGTCAAATCACAGTGCATTGATTGGTATAGGCATTCATATTGCGTGTGGATGAATCTTTAAATGAGTTTTACGTATTCTTTCATTTCCAGGTCAAAATGTAAAAGGTCAAGGTCATTGGGATATGTAGTACTTAATAAAACAAAACAAAAATGGCAATGTTTTGACCTATAGGCACTTCATGTAGTCATACCTTGATATGTTTTACGTTTCATATTTGTTTTTGGTCAAAAGTCAAAATCAGTGTGACCTTGAACTGTTTCTTTAGAAAATGTGTTATTAACTTTAAGTACAGAGTTCTAAAATTGCAGCGTGCTGATCTTTGGATTTGATAGAATCTGATGTCCAGAATGTTTGATGGAATAATTTTGGATTCAAACATACCACAACTTTGGGCCTCCTGAAGAGATTTTCAACATCAATTTACCTCATCTTACTACTATGTTTACCTTTTAGCCCTAATTGTTCTGGAATTCATTACACTCATTATCAGGAGATAATTTGGTAATCTGTTACTTGTCATTGTGGGAGGTCTGTAGAAATCTGTACGACAAGATTTTCAAAATAGAACATGTCCTATCCCTTACATCTAGACTTAAGGTTTACGAAATCAAGAAAAAGTAGCCTTCACACATTAAGATTTGTCTGTACATCTCAGTTTTAATTAGTGTTGTACTTCAAAATCCTACCGTCTGTTGAGGCCTTTAACAAGAGTTTAGGTTAGCAGTAAAATACTGATAACACATATAATGTCTGTATAAGTTGCAAATAGTTAACCTGTTATTTATACTGACAAGGAATATTAAAAATTACTTGGAATTATCATAAACTTTAACGTCTTAAATATATCCTTCACTGTATTAAAGTGTAATTTTAAAACCCTGTTGCTGATGTATTTATTTCCAAAAGAGATTTTTGTAATAAATATATTTTTCAACAAGTATGTATAGTAAATGGTACATAATGAAGATCTCTGCCACTGTAGGAAAATCCATTGGCCATATATTTGTGAAATGATACCGAAACTTGCCCTGAGAAATCTATAAAGTATTAAGAAGGGTCTATTGTGCATTAATAGTTGATTTCCGCGTAAAAGTTTTTTTCCGCACTTTGTCTGAATTTCATGGTGTTCAACCTACATCACATCGATTAATCGCTTCATTTCGGCCTTTTCCGTAACTATTCGGATTCCATGCTTTCACAGCTTTCCGGAGTTCGGCGGATAGAACCGCAAAGTAACGATTGTTGTGTTTGTTGACCTAGAAAAAAAGATAAATAACAACAACTACATTCATTTTAGGAAAGGAATGTGTAAGATTATTTTATTTATTTATGGCCTAGGTACATCATTGTTTTTTCTGTTATTTTATTTCTACACTGTTATTGAATATCTTATTAAATGAGTGGCGCCGTTAAATGAGTGATTTGTAATTAAACTTTTAACAGGATTCGCCCCAGTGACGATTCGCCCTAGTCAAGCTGTAAGAAATCAGTGTGAAGCATCCCGTGCCAAGTCATTCTGAATTTAATTCTATACTGTAATATAACTTAACTATAAGCATACTTAAATGTGGCAGTAGACTTTGAAAACAAATTTTTAGGAACAAAAGTTCTAGCCATAGTGAGTCTAGCCATACGGCACTTTACAGAATTATATGGAAGTCGAACATGCATATGTTATTTTGTGCCTCATGATTATGATTTGTTGTTTTATTTGTATGAAAGATGAATTTTTTATAATTAAGCACATGGATTGAATAAATAATGGGCCTAAATAATGATCGGAGTGGAATAAATAAAAAGAACATTGAAAAAAAAACGGTGAAAAGAAAAAATAATTGTATAATTTTCAAATACAGTAGATAAATATCGAACATAAAGCAATTAGCCTTACTTAAAGAATCCGGGTCAGCTCGGCCCTAAAACGTACTCGGCCACCGAGTCAGCTCGGCCCTATACCAACTCGGCACGGGTCAACTCGGCCCACTTTTCAATTATTATTATTTAGGTTTGTGTTATCATTGTTTATTGTAATTATTGTAATCATTTATAATACACGGATTGACAGTTTCCACAGGCTTTTCTTATCAGTAGAATTGCAAGTAAAGATAACCGATTGCGTATCTCACTGTATTTCTGACTCGTGTTAGGTTTAACCGTAATTTTTTATACTTTCAGTGTCAATGTGTTGAAATATACACTGAGACAGAGAGGAAAAAAAATACGAAAATAAGATCTGTATTTAGCCTTTATTGAAATAAAAGATAATTGAAAAGAGGGTCGTTCAAATAGAAGTTACTTTGATGAAAATAAGTCTATATGAAAATATCTATAATATTAACATGAATTTTCGCAAGTATATTTATACATATTAAACTTCTGTTCTTTATTACTTTAACTAGATAATGCACAGACAATGTATTTCTATTTGATAGAAAAAAAAACGTATGACACGTGCACATTCATTTCGGCAGCAATCAATGCTCTTATACGGTGATTGGACGTTATATATATTTTTGTAAAGTGGGCCGAGTTGACCCGTGCCGAGTTGGTATAGGGCCGAGTTGACTCTTTTCCTACTTAAAGCCTACCCAGGGACTGACAATAGAATTTTAAAATGCGTTTCACGGAACATGTAAACTTTCCTTATATTAACCACGGATTTATATTGTAATATAAATCTGTGTATTAACAAACTTCTATACTGTCGGTAAGTGACGCAATTATCAAAGCCTAACAACAATAATTTTCGGGTTTTTTTGTTTCATTTTAAAGGTGTCGAAATTAAACTTAATGAAACAAAAAAGGATCATCATCAAAGTTTTGTAAACTATTTCAATTGATGCTATTTAACTGCGACCAAACGCTATTTTTTCTAAACGTCTTGAGATGACAAAGATCGATATTCATACTTTTTTTACTGTAGCCAACAAGTCTATTAACCTCTTAAAAGTAAACATACGAAGACAATTGCTGTTTCTTAGTTAAAATCATTGCATAAAGTAATAAAATAACATATGCATTTTCGACTTATAATATAATTTTGAAAAGTGCCGTACGGCTAGCCAATACAGTGTGTCCTTGCTAGTCGTACCTGACTCACGTATGGCTAGAACTTTTGGCTAGCCGTACGGGCCCGTACGGCTAGCCACTTCCAACCAGTTAAGATGTTCTTAGCCAATAATACATGGAAGGCCCAAGGGGAAATAATGCTTTAAATTTATTTTAGCTATTAATGCATCTATCTACATTTATTCATTTAAAGCAGCACACCTCCAGATTCATGCCAGTTTCATGAAAAATTGAAAATGTATTTAACAGAACAATATTGTAAAGTTACCAAAAGAATGCAATACCCAGATTGACAGTTTCCAAACTAGTAGACGAAAGGCTTTTCTTATCAGTAGTTTTATGAAGCGTTTTTACTACGCTCGCAAGCAACTGGGCCGACAATGAGCCCGGGGCGGTACCTATTTAGGTCGGAGTCGTTTTTGTCCTGGAAATGACGAAGACAGTATTTTAATTAAAAACAAATTTATTAAGTCCAAAGTATCGCATAAGAATGATACATGCATTATAACAAATGTTGTAAACATATAATAATTTTAACACAAAAGTTTATAATGCATATCAATTAATACATAATTGATAATGTCAAGTTACATGTTTCTTATATCATATTAACAGATTGGTATTTATTTATTTAAAATAATACAAGGCAAAATGGGGAATTAAGCTTTGCATATGAGAGGTACCATTTATATGGAAAATACTATAGATTAACACAAAAATAGATTTCTATAGTTACTTAACAATTGATTGAAACATTTCTTTTCATAATATTTACTTTAACAATTTAGCAAAGTGAGTCTTTATTTTTAATACTAAATAGCTTAGCCCTAAGCTTTCCTATTTTATTATTTATAAAGAAACTCACATTATTACTTTTAAAACAAGTAAATATTTTATGAAATAAAATGACTTATAACATTTCTGTTATATACATTTTACAAAAATTAAAATAGAGTACAATTTCACCAAAAATGTAAGAATAAGATATATTTTCTACATAAAAATGTCATTTCTTAATTTATCATCAATAAAGTTTCATTATTGCTTCAAACTGTTTTAACTTTTATCATTTATAAGTACAAAGAAAATTACATTATAACAATAAGAAAAATATATTATGTTGTACATACCTGGAAATGACGAAGACAGTATTTTAATTAAAAACAAATTTATTAAGTCCAAAGTATCGCATAAGAATGATACTTTGGCTCCAAAATTTCCTTATTTTAAAACTTGTCTTCATTTCTGGTACAACATACGATTGGTTCTTTCGGAACCCGGTTTTTGATGATTGGTCCAGCAATCAAGATTGTCACAAAGTTAAGAGTGGGAGGTGCTATTTGAACTGAGAAATCTCTCAGCTTTGGTGTTTTTCTAGTAATTTATGTTAATGCTAAACAAGGTGATAACCTATCAGCTTATTAAAAGCCAACAAGTTAACACAATGACAAACATCCTTTACAGAACAAAAAGGTGCTAATGGAAGCCATTTGCCAAAAATAACAATGGCAAATGTTTAGAATTCTAAAGCTTATTTAAGAAAATTTATAATTAAATACAACCAAATAACATTTTTTTGGAACAAAGTTCAAAATAGAAAAATAAAACTGAAATATTTGAAATCTATGTTTAAAGACAAAAATTTTGATATTAATTTTAACTATTTAAGTTAAAAATTTAACAAAATGTATTTTTAAAACATTTACTTATTTACTTTATATGATTATTAATTATGATGTATTACATAATTTTATATAAGAAAAAAGGCACATCATAATAATTCCTCCCAACTTCTTTAACTTTGGACCCCAAAGTTATTCTTTATAAAAAGTCACATCATACAATAGCAAAAAAATTTTTTTTTTTTTACAATTACAACAATGTCAAAATTGAAAAACAAACACAAGAAACATACTCAACATATATACAAAAGGTGTGCACAAAAGTATTTTAACTTTGCAAAGTTTCTTTTTTGTTTTCGATTGGGACAAATGTCAACCTTTGGTTATATAAATATAGAGAAAAAATTTTCTCCATTTTATAATGTTGTTGATTTTCAACATAATTATAAATGTAATTAAGTCTGATTTTGGTGGTAGGAATCACCATGCTTCACACAACTCAAGGGGTCATAAATGCTGTATATACTGGAGACAGGTACCCACTATAATGTTTGTTATTAACATAACTATACAGAAATCTAGTTAAATGTTGTACAACTACACTGCTCAAAAATTGTTTTGTTCTTTTAGTTAAAGCATTTAACATATTTTGCTAGAACATAATATTGCCAATGTGCAGTTTTAAACAAGGTTTTGTTAAATAGAATTTAAAAGAACCCTTCAACATTGACTATTGAACAAAATCTGGCAAGTGGTACAAGTTTAAGACTAGGTTTTAGGTAGTACTTAAGTGAGGTTCAAGCTCCAATTGCTGTTGTGAGAGCACATGTGATATTATGGTATGTTATTTTAGTAGCAAGATTCAAGTGGAGGGATATTGATATGTTTTGTTATCATGAGTGAAATATAATTCTGTATTTACCATTTAAGGATAAATTCATGTATAGTTTGAGGAGGCCGTTGGAGAAATGGGCACAACACAAAAGACAGGCAAAATGAATCAAGAACGCTTTCAACATGAATTTGTCTTAAAAACAAACAAAAAATAACTGATAGTGAGTTGCTATAAAGTAGAATATTTGGCCAAAATACTCTACAACAACATCACTGTCAGAAAAAGAATTTAGAATTTAGAGGATCCAGCCTAAAGTAACTTGGCGACAAATTCAAGCATTAGCATGCTGATAACAGATTGACTTATTCTTCTGGTTGTTTCTTTCTCCAAAACACAAGCGATTTGTCTTTTCGCTTGCGTCTGCGACCTGATTTCGTATAAGATTCCCAATATTCACAAAGGAAATCTGGGTCAATTTCGCATTCACGATACCACTTTGAATACTTGCACCCTTCTATATAACATCTAAACCACCTTTCACCTTTGTACCTACAGACTTTAAATATACGTTTTGGCCTAATGAATTTATTTACAGACTCAGAATTTGGAATTTTTGAATTCTCATTTATACTTTGAGGCTGTTTCTGTTGCTCATTAGGGAGGGGCTTTGCAGACTGAGGGCAATTGGACTCTACGGACTTTGGATAAATTGGCCGAGGACCATTAGCCTCTACAGACTGTGGGTTTACGTCAGGCTGAGTCTCTGTGTGCTGGGTTTGCTC